CAAAACCAAGATATAGAGCAAAGACCGAGCTGCAAACAGAGGCAATTTTGGCATTTCCATTGTCAATGGCGCTGAGACTGAGATTTTCATGAATGACTGTGAGAAAGGCCTAGCTACAGAGCTGCAAAAGTGGAGACAAAGCAGTAGAATAATTGAAAACCATGAGAGATGGAAAGATCTCATATGAGGCTTAGCGATGAAGAATAACCGAAAATTATTGCTTTGTTTTCAGTAACAACAGGTAGTGCAAATCTCCAAGCTGTGGTGGTATGAATTTCTCCTCCTTTGCTTTCGACCTCTATTTTTTGTAAATTTTCGGTTTTTTAATGGGTCAGCAAAATAGCAAACTAATTTTATTATTGTGTTGATGATATATATTATTGTTATATTTTTATTGGTTCAACTTTTTGCTGATGTGTCAGCTTTTTATAACATAAAAAAGCTTATGTGTCATCTAGACACTGATATTAAACTTTCGGTTTATTGGTTCAACTTTTTGCTTTCGACCTCCATTTTTTGTAAATTTTCGGTTTTTTAATGGGTCAGCAAAATAGTAAACTAATTTTATTATTGTGTTGATGATATGTATTATTGTTATGTTTTTACTGGTTCAACTTTTTGCTGATGTGTCAGCTTTTTATAACATAAAAAAGCTTATGTGTCATCTCCTGGAGAGACACTGATATTTTTATAGTATTCAAAAACAGAAAAATTGCATTATCCATCAAAACCGAGAATTTGCATTTCCTGACAAAACCAAAATATTTTGTTTTCCCATCATAACTCAGAAATTTTGTCTCCCGTCAAAACAGCAAACAGAGAAATCGCATTTTTTCATCAAAACCAAAAGTTTTTATTTCCGCACCAAAACAGGGAAATCTCATTTTCCCATCAAAACCGAGAATTTTTATGTTTCCAAACTTTGTTGTTTTCCTATTCAAACCATGAAATTTTGCTTTCACGTCCAAACCGAGATATTAAGTGAAGACCGAGCCGGAAACAAAGGTAATTCCGGTGTTTCCAATGTCAATGGCATCGAGATTGCGTTTGTCATGAATGACTGGGAGAAAGCCATAGCTACGGAGCTGTGAAAGTGGAGACAAAGCAGTAGAATAATTGAAACCATGAGAGATGGAAAGCTCTCATGTGAGGCTTAATGGCGAAGAATAATCAAAAAGTTATTGATTTGTTCTCGGTAACCACCAGAAATGCGAATCTCCAAGCTGTGGTGGTCTGAGTTTCTCCTCCTTTGCTTTCGACTTCCATTTTTTTTGTAAACTTTGTGTTTTTTAATGGGTCAGCAAAATAGTAAACTGATTTTATTATTGTGTTGATTATATGTATTATTGTTATATTTTTATTGGTTCAAATTTTTGTTGATGTGTTTTATAACATAAGTTTTTTTGCGTTGTTGTCATGGAAGTATAGTTAATGCTGAGCCTACACTTTGTTCAATCATATACGTCTCTATCAAACAAACAGAAATTTTATTTATTTATTTGCTGTTATTTATTATTTGAGTTTGAGCTTGGCAAAAAATAAAATAAAGATTTAATTTTTTATTTGCTGTTATTCGTCATTTGAGTTTAGATTTGGCAAAAAACAAAATATTTTTTTTTTTTGCTATTATTTATTATTTGGGTTTGAGTTTGGTAGAAAATAAAACAAAGATTAATAGAAAAAGTATTTGGAGTTTTAATGGGTTTAAGTTTAAAAGTTAAAATAAGTAGATGAGTTGTATTAATAAAATATTTTCGTTGGTGAATTTTTTTGCTGAAGTGTCATCTTAAAAGAATTTCAAAAAAAGTTGATGTGTTATCTCCAGGAGAGACACAAAGGTTATTGTTGTATTGATTCTAATATTTTATCGTGTGCCTGTGATTTTTTTTATCGAGTGTTTTCAAGTTCATGTCTAGTCATATTCAGGTCAACTGATGTTTTTATGAAGAGTGAAGAATTTAGACTAAAAACGAGCAATTTTTATTGCAAACAGGCAACTTCTAAATGTGGACTAAGTTGAAATCTGGATACCAGATATATAGAGTATTGGGTTAAACTCAATTTGAAAGCAGTTTGAAGTCACTTCAACCGTGCGACTGGAAGTTACGACAAGTTTCGTGAAGATTTGTTAATCTGGCGAGCATAAGAAATATATGCCGTTTTACTCGAGAGCATCATAATGATCAAGCTCAGAAACCTAGTTCAACCGTTTGAGCTTCTGAAGGAATTATGATAATTTTCAACAGTTTATTTTTTATTCAGTTTTGAGTGAGGTCATTTTAGATTTTATTTTTCTGATCAGATTTTTATCACATTTCTCCGTAATTTTTTGGGGGAGAGGAATCTATGAATCCACCTCTATTCAGAGGATTTATGAACCCCAATTTCTATTTCTTGATTTAATTATGCATTCTTTTTTATATTTTTGTGATTTTTCTTCAAGCATGTCTCTGTAGTTTTTTTTGTTGGGTTTTAGGATTTCAAAAGAATTTAATGAATTATTGAAATAGAGATTTATCTTCTGAATTTTTATAATGTAAATGAGTATTATAATTATTTTTATTAGTTTAAGTTATGTATTTATATGTTTTAAATCTGAATAAACATTATATATCCTTAATTTATTTTTATTTTTCAAAATTATAATCTACTATAAAATTTATTTAGCTAATTATCTATAAATGTATATGTAAGAATAAAACAATACATTTTTAAGTACATTTATGTTAATGGCAAATATAATTTGTTATCTTTAGTAAATTGCCACTTGATCCTCCTTCTAAATTATATAAAGCTAATTGCCATTTTTTAAAAAAAATTGAGAAATCGCTCTTTCCGACAAAATAAAAAAAATTCATTTCATTTATTTCTGCCAAAACCAAAAACATTCATTTTCTCGTCAAACATGAAATTTCACTATCACACCAAAATAAATAAATTATATTTTTCCGCAAAAACCAAAAATCACATTTTCCTGCGAGAACTTGTGTTTTTCCATCAAAACAGAGAAATCAAGTTTTTTACCAAGACCAAAAAAATCTTTTTCCCATGAAAACCAAGAAATAGTCAATTCCTCCCCAAAAAAAACCATCAAACTAAAAATCAGGCCTTCCTACCAAAACTGATAAACTATAATTTTCTATGAAATTCAAAAATTGCATTATCTCCTGAGAAATTGTGTTTTCCGCGAAAACTAAGAAATCATATTTTACCGCGAAAACTAAAAAATCATATTATATTTCAAAAAACTAAAAATTTGCATTTTCCATCAAAATTGATAAATTGCTTATTGCTTCCAAAATCGAGAAATTTTGTTTTCCCATCAAACTGAAAAATTGTATTTTTTGCCAAAATCTTCAAATTACAATTTCCTACAAAAACTAAGAAATCATATTTTCCCGAAAAAATCAAGGAATCACATTATTCATTAAAATCCGGAAATTTGCATTTCCTATCAAAACCAAGAAATCATATTTTTTTGTCAATTGAAAAGTTGCATTTCCCTCGCATTTTCTCGTCAAAACTAACATATTTTGTTTCCGTGTCAAAATTTTTTTTTTTGTTTTCTCATCAAAACCAAAAATTCACATTTTTCCGCCAACCCGATAATTCATTTTATCCGCCATAACCAAGAAATTATGTTTTCCTAGCAAAACTGAATTTCACATTAATCTATTGAAACCAAAAAATTCCCTATTCCCTCTAAACCCATGAAAATTTGTTCAGAGTAGCCACTGGAAATGCGAATCTCCAAGTTATGGTGGTTTGAGCTTCTCCTCATTTGCTTTCGACTTCTATTTTTTTGTAAACTTTTAGGCTTTTTAATGGGTCTACAAAATAGTAAACTGATTTTATTAGTATGTGAATGATATATATGTATTATTGTTATATTTTTATTTGTTCAAATTTTTGCTGATGTGTGAGCTTCTTATAACATAAGGTTTTTTGCGTTGTTGTTATGGAAACATAGTTGATGATGAGCCTACACTTTTTCAATCATATACGTCTATGTCGAAAAAACAAATAACTAAAAAAAATTATTTATTTGCTGTTAATTATTATTTGGGTTTGGGTTTGGCAAAAAATAAAACTAAGATTTTTTTTTATTTGCTGTTATTTATTATTTGAGCTTTGATTTTGACAAACAATAAAACAAAGATTTTTTTATTTGATGTTGTTTATTATTTGGGCTTTGGTTTTTTAAAAAATAAAACAAATCAATACAACAATAACACTCAAGTCTCTCCATAAGTATTTGGGTTTTTAATGGGTTTAAATTTAAAAATTAAAATAAGTAGATGAGTTGTATTAATGTTTTCATTTGATTGGTTTGTAAAATAGCTGAGGTGTCAGCTTCTCAAAAAGATTCAAATATCTGATGTGTCAACTTATGGAGAGATTTGAGTGTTATTGTTGTATTGATTCATTTTTCTATTATTAGTGAAAAAATGATATATCTAAAAATATTATTTTACATATTATTTGCTTGTCTTTTATATTAACATAAATACCAAAATTACAAAATGAAATTTTCTTATTTTTATAATGTAAAATTCATAATTTTTTAATAATATATCACATATATTAATACATATAATTTCTCCAACATATTAAAATATCCTTTTATGAATTAATTTTATATTTTTTTCATTATTTATATTTTATATTAACACAAATATCAAAGCTAGAAACTGACATATTCCTAATTTTAATATAGAGCTTACAATATTAAAATATTATATTACACATACTAATTAACTGTCTCACACACACATATATATATATATATATAACTTAAACCCCATGATTATTAAATTTTATTATGCAAATTTAAATTATGTTTATATATTATTCTAACTGTTTACCCAAAAAAAATCATTCGACAGCGTGAATCAATCGTATTTTCATTATAAATGATAAACTGTATTATTAAAATTTATAATTAATTTATTCCTATTAAAAATATAATACCGACATTGTGCCGATACGTATAAAAAACAATTAAAAACTTAACATATAATTATGGTAGATGCAAAGAGTGATCAGAAATGCATGACGGTAGATGCAAAACGGAGCAACTTATCCAAAGAAGTGGGCGAAAACTTGCGAGCAAAGAGAAAGCAAAGCTTCGTCCTATTCTCTACATTGTGTTCGTCAACACTCCTCCTAAGCCACTTCAAGAATCCCACATCTACCTGCGACGCACCAAACGTTCTCGGGTGGGACCGACGATTTCCCCAGTCAGTCCACGTCAGCGTCCGGTTCGAGTTACGCCACCCGAGGCCTGGTCTCAAGTTTAATAGCGTGGGGATGTAGTGCTCGTCGGCGCAACGAGAGTGTGCCTTGAAGATGGGCCAGTAAAATGTGTCTGAAACGACCTCAAGGGCCATGGCTCGGTCTAGCTCGAACCACTGAGAGCCTTTGCGCCAGTGGTGCAAGTGGATGTGTGGATACATGCGGCGCTTGTAGCGGACGCGACTTACGGGGAGGTCGTAGGAGTCCACGTGTGTTTGAGTGGAGTTGATGAGGTAAGAGTAGAGAGTGGTGAAGTTGAAAAGAGGGATGCATGATTCTGAGAGAAGAAGGAAACGCTCGTTGTTGATGTCTAGTAATGCGTTTGCTAGTAACCTGCGTTCTGCGTCCACCATGTTTGCGTTTCCCCAGTCCACTCTCTGCATTTATATATAATTACGTTGGATTGAGTCTTCTTCGTTCTCTTTGATTTGATACAATCACAACTAATTTTCTTAATATATATGAACAAAATCTTTAATACTATAAGAGCATCTGCATTGGTGAATCTAAAGTCTCTCATCCATAAAAAAAATCATAAAATAATATATATCAATATTTTATTACAATAATTTTTTAAAATAATTGAGACTCTCTCAAACTCTCTCAAAGTCTCTCATATAAGAGACTTTCTTCACTTTTTTGAAAGACTCATATACTAAAATATTAATATTTATTATTTTATTTTATTTTTATTGCTGAGAGACTCTGGTGAGAAACTCTCAATACAGATGGTCTAATAAATGTAACGAGGGAAAATGAGCTCAACTCATGAGTACAGTTGAATGAACCAGTGATTTGCTTACCATTAACTAAATGTATATATTTTCATTAAGAAAAAAACACAGTATAAATTTACTGATCCTAAAAATGTATATCTTATATAAAAGTAACTAAGTGTATTAATTATTAATATCCAACGTTTATCTTTTTTTGGTAGAACTATAATGTAATTATCAAATGTGTAATTGTTTAAAAATCCCGATCTGATAGGATATTTTACATAGTTACAAGATGTGTAGAAAGAAAATAACAGAGCTAATTCAGAATAAAAATATATCAGCTTAAATGCTAGATGAGGGGTCGAATATGCTAACTAATGGTTTAAATGCCATTGGTCTTTTCTCCAACCTAAGCTGTTATTTTTTCCAAAATGGTAAAGAAAACAAAAGGAAAAAATAATAGTCGATGAAGTGGAAAAGCTGACCTTGCTTGGAATGCGTCGGCCATGAAACACAGAACCTTCCGGCATTGACTCGTTGTAAGATGGACTCGTGTGGATGTAAATAGTAAAAAGACCATCATTCCCTCGAAAGAACCTTTCCCATAGAGGAGCCAAAGGTAAAGGTCCCCTTGTCAAGAACATGAAAGCAACCTTCGGGGTACGAGAGAAAGGGTAACTCTTGATCTTGGGATCCATTGAAGCTCTCCACAAAAGCTCATTGTCTTCCATATTGTGCATGATGTTCTTCGGTGGCCTCAAAAGCATTTCGAGCTCGTTGTTTTGAGATAAAGGCGAAGGAGAAGGAGGAGGGGAGGTAACGAGAAAGATACGTGAGGCACTTTTGATGGTTGGAGAATAAACAGAAGGTGATGCTTCTAGAGAGGAATGGACAACGATTCCGACTATCGCACCCACGAAGAGGATGAGGAAATAAAAAAGGAGACTTAAGAAATGGTGAAGTAGCGGATTGAGAAGTTTTACTACTATTAATAATGACGAGAATGGTGAGTTTCGATCCTTTTGGGTCGGCATTATCTCCATCTAGATATACATTCGCATGAAAGAATTTTACGTTTGACACTTTTATAAGGGTCGGATCTTAATTTTTAGTTTCAGCGAGGTGAAAGAAGTGGAGAAGAGCAAGTAAAAGTGAAGAAAAAAAAAACAAGGAATAGTGAAGATCTTGGTGCATGGCATGCATGATTAAGACGTAAATAAAAATTACACACGTACGCAATGGAGTAATACTGTGTTTGAGGTAGTTTTTGAATAATCCAAGCAATATCCATTGGTAATCTCCGCAGCATCTTATTTCTCTTTCACTTACAAGAAAATCTTATAAATACGCTAAGATTAGTCTACTACAGAATTTTGATGGGAGAAAAAGAGCTTAATCAATCTTTGTAAACAACCTTCTCTTTATTTCGTCTCTATGAGCGAACTATCTCCATGCAATTTGTTCTTCAATTCGTTTTCTTAAAAGGCAAAATCATCTTTCGTTTGTTATAAGCAGATATTTTCTTTTAATTGTGATTTGAATGTTTTACTTGTAGTTTCGATATAGACTCGTTTAAATCTTTTACGTATTATATACATACATGGTTTCTTTCTTCTTTGGGCATATATAAGATACTGTGATTGTGATTGATGTATATCAATTCAATAACTATCCTCAAAATTATTATTTTCTGGTAATTGTCAACAACATATTCTTTTTTTTAAAACATTAACAACACATTCTTAAAACGTCTAAGTTTTAATTGTTTAACTAATGCAACGACTTCGGTGTATAAACAAAAATGAGATCGTACTTAAATAAAAATGAAACTTAGAAGTAAAAGTTAACCCTGAATTGGGGATTTCTTATAAATACTAACGTGATTTCATTACAAGAATGAAAGTGACTCGACCATAAAAGGATTGTCAGAGTGGTATTAAGTATTAACAAACAACCAAATTTTGATTTTTATAGATAAAGATGCTAATTTCATTAACCGACGTTTATAGTAGACCATGCATAGACATAATACCAACCCTTATAAAGGAATTTTCAACACTTGAAGTAAAAATCAAGAGGTAAACAGTTACACACACACACATATATATATACATATATATATATACATATATATATATATATAAGTGGCACATATGCTTATTCTTTAGAGAGAAATATTTTATACATTTATTTATTCATAGCAAATTAGCATTACCGGATCAAATACATTTAATATCTATTATGAACATCTAATTAAGAAAAAGATTGCCATCATGGGAGGATCCAAAAAATATTTAATCTGAAGCACAAATCACTATTATTAATAATATTTAAACTAATAAAAATCAGTCAATTCTAATGTAAGATCTCAAAAAAAAAATGGCAAACAAATAAAAATTGAAATGGAATACTTGTCTACTGGGATCTAATGTTTTTTTCACAACTAGCTCTGATATGCTGCCATGTGGCATCTAATAAACTGATATAGTATGTCATTTTTTATAATTTCTATTAGAGTTTCTTTCATTAAATAAACGCAAGAAAAAAGCTTCAGATTTTTTTTTTCTTTTCTACAAATTATTATTTTTCATTTATAATAAAGTAAGGTTTTTTTAATAATCAGCTCTGATATGCTGCCATGTGGTATCTAAAAAAACTGACATGTGTCATTTTTTTTTACAATCTCTATTAAAAATTTTTCATTAAATAAACACAAGAAGAAAGCTTCAGTTATTTTTCTTCTACAGATGATTATTTTTCATCCAACAAACATAAACAAAAATAAAATCACTCAAACAAATATAATATAATATAATAAAATAATATGTCATTTTCTTTCTTTTCTTTTGTTCTTCTCAGCACTATTTTCTTTCATTATGGGTATGATTGGTGTGCATTAGAAGAATTGAGAGGAATTGAGAAGAAAAGAAAAGCTATAATTAAAAAAAATATTTTATTTGTTTTGAATGTGTGCTTTTAGATAAAATAAATTTGGGAAATTAGGTCATATGACCATATTTTGAAGCTAAATTAATAAAATAACCATAACAAACTAGGTGCTATAATATTCTTTGTATATTATACAATATATACAAAATTATCCTTTTGTTTTTCCCCTTATTTCTTTCTCCTCCGATCTTCTCTTCTCATTTCATTTTTTCCCCCTTCAGTATCCTCTGCTCACCTACGATCATCTCATCTCCCTTCTCCTTCCCTCTCCTCCTTTCCTCTCTCGTCTTCTTCCCTTCCTTCCTCTTTACAATTTTTTTTAAAAAAATACTATGTCAAATAGAGCTATTCCATAAAATGATATATAGTATAATATATAATATAGTATAGTACATGGTTATTTTTGACAATTGATTGTGGGTCATGATTAGTTTACTAATTTTTCAAATAGCATGTCTATATTTTTCGATTGTTTTGCAAGTATGGTTATTGAACAAAAAAGCCCAATAAATTTTTCAATTTGGTTTGGGTGGAAAAAAAAATTCTACACTTTTCTACTGATATCAGAAGTAATTTTTCTTCTATTTTTTTTTCTCTTTGTGATTGGTTTACCTTTTGAAATTACTGGAAGAAATATTCTTTTTGCCTTTTCTTTTCTTCTATAGACTACAACCAGTCAGACCCTATGTCTCTTACTTCACATTATTTAAAAAGATTTTTTGAACTTTTAAGAGTTGACTGTGACATTGTTCCATCGCAAAAATATATTCATTTCTTTATGTTTTCAATCTATAACAAATAAGATCATGTGTCATTGTTTCTCTCTCTTTTTTTTCTTCTCAGCCATATTCTCTTTCATTATGCCTCTTACTTCACACTATTCAAAGAGATTTTCTAAACTTTTAAGAGCTGACTCTGAGATTGTTTCATCGCAACAAATAGATTCATTTCTTTATGTTTTATTTATGGCCAAAAGAACATAAAACCATGTATTATTTGCTTTTGTGAAAAAAATAGTTTTTTTATAATATGCCTCAAATAAATACTATGCTTCCAGTAGTCTTAGGCTCATATTCACAAATATTTTGTTTAAAATTTTAGTTATATTAAATTACTAGGAAAAAGTTTTTTTCTCATCTACAAATAATTATTTTTCATCTAACAAACAGAAGCGAAAATCAGTAAGGTCTTTGAGAACCAGCTCTTATATGCTGCCACATGACATCTAAAAACTAACATGTGTCACTTTGTTTTTAAATCTCTATTAAATTTTCTTTCATTAAACAAACACAAAAAGAAAGCTTCAGTTTTTTCTCTTCTACAAATGATTATTTTTCATCTAACAAACATAAACGAAAATTAGTAAAGTTTTTTTTTTCATAAACAACCCTGATATGCTGTCACGTGGCATCTTAGAAATTGACATATGTCTTTTTTTCCTATTTCTATTGTATTCACTTTCATCGAATAAATACAAAAATAATGTCTCAATTTTTTCTTCTTCTCCACTAGATTCTCTTTTATTATATCTCATATTTCATATTATTTAGATTTTTTTTTACTTTTAAGAGCTGACTATGTCATTGTTTTTGTCTGAAAAAATAGATTCATTTGCTTTCATAAAATCTTTTTATATTAAGGCCTCAGTACTTATTTTCCTACTGCATCTAACCTCAAACCGCCATTACTATCACAATATGAATGTTATTCTCGAGAACTTTCTTTTTTGGTCATTCCCAATGACAGCATCATTTCTCTAACCGGTTCAAACCAAACATTATTATTTCACCAATTTTTTTATACAAAAATTAAAGAGTATACACAACTTAAAAACTAATATTTACCGATAAAATTTACTAACAAAAATAATAAAATTAATTATAAAATTAAATAGTCAAAATATCACAAATGCAACACGGAGACCTTCTCTTAGTTTAGAATAAATTGATTGTACAAATTTGAGTGTAAAGTTGGGTTGCACATTCATACAATAATGGTGCAACACGTGGCATCTTTCTTGAAAATTCATTATGACATATTTTATGTTTTATAAAAAGTGTTATTTTTTAAATTATAAAAAATTGTTTTATTTTTGTTTATATATAAAATAACATTATTTTTTAATTAAAATAATAAAATATAAAAAATTATAGTTAAATATTTATTTCAAATTATGCATTGAAAATGTAAAATAATATTTTTTGTGAAACAAAATAAAACTTTAAAATGATATTTTTTTAAAGAGTGCAGATTTATTTTGTTCTTTTCCTAAAAGTGAAACTGATTATAATATAGAGATCAGCTGAAAACCGTCAGATTAGACGAAGACTAACGATGGCTGAAAGTTTGTGGACCAGCTCCTCAAAACATGGTTGAAGACTGAACAAGTTGAACCAAGGAGAGATAAGTAACAGCGACAAACTATTTGTGATTTCAGGTTCCTTGAGTTAAATTAGTGATACTAGAGTAAAATTTCTCGACAACGAGCTACTTCATTCTTCTTCAAGTCCGGAGCATTCGAGTTTTTGCCACACATCGTTTATGTCAGATGTTAGACATGCAAATCTGGAAATGTTTGGACACGAAACAATCATTTCATTTGCGTACTTCCTAATACTCGTTAGCTTTATGCCAAAAACAATATGTTACATTGATATTAGGCTCAAGTCCTGTCTAATTAAAAAAGTAATTATCTCATTATGCCAAGAAAAAGTTGGTTTTAAATTTTTTCCCAATCCAAAAAATTTATGGCTCTAAATGCTAGCGACATATTTACTCCAAATGTTAAAGAGTGACTAAAAAGGTTAAAACGTCAATTAATTTATGTTGCATCTTTTAAGTTTTCTGATGTTTTTTCCCCCTAAACATATCGAAACTGCCGGATTAGCATTTATACTGATCATAATTGTCAGAAAACCTCCTGCAACTTTGGCGTTTCTCCTTTTCTTGAAATCGAAATGACTTTTTTTTAAGGAGCAATCACATGATAAGTTACTCATAATATATATTTTTTATTCATGTTTTTTAAATTTTATTTAGAGTACAATTAGATTTATGTTAATTTTATTTTTCGTGTTAGCATGGTTTTAAAAATATTTTATTAATTAATCCGTTAAAGAAATTTCAGTTATCCGATATACTTGTTCAATTTTAACATTCTAATAAATCCACCATTAATCACCCGTTAAAAATATGCCAAGTTTAATCTCTAACAGATTCTTCCATGCTGTCAAAAAAGAAAAAAAACAGATTCTTCCATTAATATTTAGTATATACACTTTATATAAAGATTTTTCTGTGCGACGTTTATCAAGTTTCATATTTTAAACCCCAAAATCTTCTGTTTTGACGAGCAAAAAAAAAAGAGACTCAAAATAAAAAATATAAATTGAATTCTCCACTTGTAAAAGCAGTATCGTATCTCTTGCCCGTAAAGCAAAGAACTTAAGTCTCTCCTTCTCCATGCTAACTTTGTAGATCCATTTTCAGTCCTCTTTTGAACACACAATTCTCTCTTTCTCTCTCTCGATGAAGAAACAAAAGGACCAAAAGTCATCATTGTCTTCTTCATCACCATCTCTACTAACAAAGCTTCTCAATGCTCAACACCAAAATTTCCTCAATATCCTTTCATATTCTCTCATTCTCTTCTGCGGCATAATCATCGGAATTCTTCTACATTCCTCTCTACAAGACTTCGCTTCCAATTCTTCACTAAGCATTCAACACATCTCTGAGCTCTTCCTTGTCTCCCCTCCCCCTCCTTCTCCTCCTCCTCCTCCACCTTCTCCTCCTCCTCCTCCTCCTCCTCCTCCTTCTCCCCCTCCTCCTCCTCCTCCTCCTTCACACCCCGAGCACGACGGGCTCAAACGGTTTCTGAGGCCACCGGAGAACATTATGCACAACATGAAAGAAGAAGAGCTTTTTTGGAGAGCTTCAATGGCACCCAAGATCAGGAATTACCCTTTTCCACGAACACCAAAGGTTGCTTTCATGTTCTTGACAAAGGGTCATTTACCTCTCGCTCCTCTATGGGAGAGATTCTTTCGAGGTCATGAAGGCTTTTTCAATATCTACGTTCACTCATATCCTACTTACAACGAGTCCGATTCCAAAGGTTCCGTCTTCCATGGCCGGCAGATTCCAAGCGAGGTCAGCTTCTTCAATATTATTGATCTTTTTTCATTTCTGATGTTTCATTTTTGGGTGAAATTGCGTTGGAGAAAAAAACAAAAACTCGAGAACCCTGCTCTTGTTGTAAACATTCTGACTGTGATTGAGTAATTACTACACAAAAATCTCATACTAAAGAGACTAAAATTCATAAGAAAATTGTGAATGGAATGTAGATTTCTTGCACTATACGGTTGCTTTTTGATATATTATTATACCATTTATCAAGCAATTGTTTGCGGCCCGTCGGTGCCAGTGCTATCATATTATATATTACAATACATTGCATGGTTGCTTTTTCTTTTGTTTTTGGGTGTTTATTATTGCATGGTTTCTTCATTAGTCAACATAACGTTTTTGCTAACAAAAAATGGAGACACAAACGCATGTACATACCTGTAAAAAAGAAGGTGTATTATCTTATTAGTGCATACTTAACTTAATTGGCACAAATGCGTATGAGTTAAATGAAAATCAAATCCCAATTAATTATTTCCCTAAACTATCTCAAAGTTACATGCATCAATCTTCTTTTGTGATGTGACTTTTCTTGAGGGTGTGTCTTTACTTAGTAGCGCTTAATTAAACTTAGTTGGCACAAACGCGTGTGTTATTTGAAAATCAAATCCAATTAATTATTTTCCGTAACTTTGACAAATTTGGATTCATCAATCTTCTCTTGTGATGTGACTTTTGTTGAAGGTAGCTAGTATGCCTATTTTTAGAATTTGTTAATACAAGAATATGTCTATTATATAGGTGGTTAACAATTTTGAATTTTATTGTAACTCATTCGATAACGACTCTTTTTTCTTTGGTCCAAATTTTTTTTTTTAATATAAAAAGGGCTTTCTTTGGTCCATTATTACACGCGGTTATTTGAATATAAAGTTTAGTTTTAGGTATGTACAGCTCTGTGTTCTCGTGTACTAAATAAAATCTATAAGAAACCGTGTCAAACTTAAGATGTAATTCAATATTTGATCTTACTAGGAAGATTTGAATATTCAGATTTTGATACTTGCGACTACTTGTCTCATGCGATCCGGATATTTATTTAAAATTTATTTCACAATAATAAAGTATTTTTTTTTAATATACAAAAATGACAAATGTTGACCACAACGAGATTAGCTTATTTTTTTGTAAGATTAGCTTATTTTTGTAATATATATAAATTATGTTAGAAGTCTCTTATAAATTTTTTATATGGGTCTTGTAACATCTTTTGAATTATTTATTTGTTAAAATGCAGAGAGTGGATTGGGGATACGTGAATATGGTGGAAGCAGAACAAAGATTACTAGCAAATGCTTTATTAGACATTTCAAACGAACGATTCGTACTTCTCTCCGAATCATGCATCCCTCTCTTCAACTTCACCACCGTTTACACTTACCTCACTAACTCAACTCAAACTCATGTCGAATCCTACGACCTACTCGGCGGCGTTGGACGTGGCCGGTACAGCCCTGAAATGAAGCCACGTGTTCAGCTACACCACTGGCGCAAAGGCTCTCAGTGGTTCGAGCTAAACCGTGACGTGGCTGTAGAAATCATCTCCGATAAAATCTATTGGCCACTCTTTTACCGGCATTGCCACAACGGTTGCTACGCAGACGAGCACTACATCCCTACGCTGCTCAACATCAAAAGGAGCCTAGGTCGACACAACTCGAACCGGACTCTCACGTGGGTCGACTGGTCTAAAGGTGGGCCACATCCTAACCGGTTTATAAGATACGAGGTGACGAAAGAGTTCCTGGAGAAGCTGAGGAGTGGTGGTGGTGATGAGAATAGGCAGTGTTACCACAATGGAGAGAAAACGAATATTTGTTATTTATTTGCTCGCAAGTTCTTGCCCACTGCTCTCGGCAGATTGCTCCGGTTTGCACCTACGGTTTTGTATTTCTGATCATTCTTCTTTGACATAAATATTTTTTTTCTTTTCTAATGTTGTATTCTTTTTATTCTTCTTTTCAACTCATAAGAAAAAGATCATTTATCATAAATTGAAAAAAGTTTGTTTGCCGTATTCTAAATCAACATTCAGACTAATTCACAAAGTTGAATACCTACTTCACCACCATACAATGAAATAACTCTTTGTAGAGCATCGACTTGTACTGTTTTTGGGGGATTCATGTACATAATTCCATTTACCTGTTTGCTATTCCGTGATATCAGCCGATGGAACTTGCTTTTAACGACTACATTAATATAATATATTGGTTATTTTATGTTCTATGGCTGACTATCGTGTAACTCTATGTAATGCTAAGAAGCCGACAGTGTTAGGCGATGACATGCGCACATGCTTCCATACTCTATAAAGTCCTCTCTAGTTTCTATCAGAAAGAATAATGAACCGGACTTTAAGGCATCTCTAGTGGGAGGCGTTACATTCATTTAGGCCCTGACTTTCTTTCTTCCTTAGTCTAATACTTGCGAGTTAGGCAACCATTATATCAATAATCATTTTTTGCGTTTGTATTATTTATACAAGGGAAAAACAATTCAAAAAAAAAAAACAATAAGTACATACAAATTTAAACGTTAAACAAAAATACTATCCGAAATGTAAACGGTACTTTCAGAATAAGGAATTGAAATTTTGTTTGACTTCTATTTTGTATCCAAAAACACTCGAGGCTCGCATAATTTATCTGATTACATCTTAAACATAAATAGCAATATTACAAAACAAATTAAAACAAAAAAAAAACAAAAGCCTACAACTCCAGAAATGTTATGATTGAAATTTCAGAAAAAGAGCAAAAAGGTAAAAGATTCTTAGCACGTGGTTTTTACAGATTCTAGTAAAACGAGCTTTACTTACTGACTAGTAGTCCCACCACACGTGTCCTCAGACAAGCACGGCGAAGACTCCGCCGCAGAATTAATCCCATTGTTGCACGGCGACGCCTCTGAGCCACCACCACCACGTATCTCCTCTATCATCTTCACCACATGACTCATCTTCGGCCTATGATCCGCCGTCGCCGCCGTGCAGGCCATAGCAATCTGCAGCAGCCCCACCATCTCCTCCTCTATGTCCTTATACCTCATCAGCTCCAAATCAAAAACCTCAGCCGTCCACTCCTCTCTCACCACCGATTGTACCCATCTCGGTAAATCCACCGCCCCACCCGCTCCGCCGGAGTGACCCGTCTCCACTAAGTTAGGACACCTCCCGGTGAGTATCTCAAGAAGGAGCACTCCAAATGAGTACACGTCGGTTTTTTGGGTGGGTTTTCGGCCGTCGATCAGCTCCGGCGCACGGTAGCCGTTGGATTTAGCGGTAGTTTGCGACGGTGCGAAGATAGATAAGCCGAAATCGGAAACGCGAGCGTTGCCGGAGTTGTCGAGGAGGACGTTGGTGGATTTGATGACACCGTGAGTGAGCTTCAGGGTTTTACATGAGTTGTGGATGAAAGCTACGCCACGCGCCGCCCCCGCTGCGATCTTCAGGCGCGTGGTCCAGTCAAGTGGAGTCCGACCCGGTCCACGGTTTCCTGCAAAAACCCAAATCAGACACCATATTTTACGAATATTACAAATTTGCCACTTACCTCGAGAAATGTAATTAGTTGCTTTATTAGTTACTAAAACAAATGGTTTGGTGGAAAAGACAAACACTGAGATTTAGCCATTTGACCCAAGAAAAAAGAAGAAAAATCCTAAAGAGCACTTAAATGAGACAGATCAGAACTTTATTTGTCCAACTTGTGCATATCCAGAGAGTTAATTCTCATTTATCTATTTAGTAATAATAAATGCGACATGAAAGTGATTTTCCAACAAATTTTGAATTTTCTATACTAATAAAAATATGATATGATATGTCACTAAATCCAAAAATTAACCCTACTCTTCTAATGCCTTTTGGCGTTACACTAACGTCATTTCGTTCCTTGTACCAGGAATTAGGAATCACCTGTTTTGGCCCACACAAGAAAGGTCTCTACCATTTTCCATAATTTCTCCTCTTACGGAAACATAATCCTAAGCCAACTTTTGGTAAAATAATCTGACTAGTGATTAATTTCCATAATTAGTAACAATTAAAATTCAAAAGAAAACGATGACGTACCATGGAGAAGCCAGAAGAGGCTACCATTAGGCATGTACTCATAGACAAGAAGCTTCTCTTCTCTAGCAAAGTAATAAGCCTTCAAGCTCACGAGATTAGCGTGACGGAGCCTCCCTAAAACCTCCATCTGTTGCTCAAACTCTTTCTTTCCGGCGACATTCACGGCGTCTTTCAACCTTTTCACCGCAACCTCGTTGCCGTCGTCAAGAACCGCCTTGTACGCTGTCCCGAAGCATCCTTTCCCAAGCATCTCAGCCGAAGCTCTGAGAAGATCTTCAAGCTCAAACCTCCTTGTTCCTTCGAAAAAGACCATTCTACCCCTGTCACCACCGCCTTGTTGCTGCTGGTTGTTCGCCGCCGCGTTAGGGTATGGATTCGACGAGTAGACTATCTTCTCTCCTTCAAGAACCTTCGAGTCTTTCTTCCTGTTTGTTGCGTATTGTCTCCAGAAGCAACAGTAGAGAAGGAGAGAGACGAAGCTTAAGATAATGACGTCTCCGAGGATAATTGCTACGAGTGCTAATGTACTGATTCTCGTCGAGCTTTTGCTGTCTTCGTCTTTGTTGTTGTTGGAGTGAATTGAGGTTGGAGAGGAAGGTACTGTTTCTGGTTTGGTTACAGGAGAAGCTGTTGCTCCATCGGTTCGACCCGGTTTTGTTGGGTTGCTGGAGCATTTTAGCAACGGAGCTCCGCAGAGAGATGGGTTTTGACCGAAGACGGATTTGGGGAATTCGGATAAGGAATTTGGTATCTGACCTTCTAGGTTGTTGCCGGAGACGTTGAAATCTTGGAGATCGGAGAGGATGATGTCTGGTATTTGACCGGAAAACCGGTTGGTTTCTAACCGGAGAGTGAGGAGATGGGTTAAATGGGTTAAAGTCAGTGGAATCTCGCCGGAGAAGTTGTTGAAGGAGAGATCAAGACGGTATAGACGAGAGAGTGAAGTAACCGACGCCGGAAACTCCCCGGAGAATTGGTTTTCCGATAAGAAGAGTAGCTTTAGTGCTGTGAGCTTCGAGAGGTCTGGGATTGGACCCGAGAGGCGGTTTCGTTTGAGACTGAGAACTCGGAGCTCAGTGAGCGAGGCGAGTTGTTCGATTGACCCGGTGAGTTCGAGGCTCTCGAGAACGACTCGCGTGACTCGGTTTCCGACGCAGGAAACTCCGGTCCATTTGCAAGGATCGGTGGTTGAGTTCCACGAGTTAAGTTTTCCGGTGGAATCAGCGGAGGACTTGAAGTTTTTAAGAGCATCTAAATCGGAGCTCGAAGAAGAAGCGAGATAACAGTGAAGAAGAGAGAGAAGGAGTAGAGAGAGAAGCAAATGCTGGTTGAAGAGAAAACGTTTCTCCATTGTCGCTCTTCCAAAAGTTGCAGACAGAGGAGAGAAAGCAAAGAGAGAGTATAGAAGCGAGCGTTGAGGATTCCAAGACACTAAAGAAGGAAAGTGGTATGGTCCGTAATTAAGACCAAAGACTTGTGGCTTTATTGTCTCTTAAGTAACGCAAAAACAGCTGTTAAAATGACTAACGTACCCTTCTTTGATACCTTACCATACATCTGATCAGTGTAGACCGTACGATCGTTTCAGATTTGACCAGCTTAAAAAGAGGTTTCAAATAGTCAAAGGGTATTCGCGTCGTTTTTTATTTTCCCCGTAACGGTAAGTAATAATGATAAATTTGTGGATTTTTGGTTTTTGCCCACACGCGTGCCTGTGATCTCACGTGTTAACTCCATAGATTTTCTTTCACGTGAAGAAGATTAATGCTCATAATTACAACTCCTAAACCAAGAATTAAATTTCTTTTCCAAAAATCTATCAAATTCCAAAATTTGTTTTGTTTTCCTAATTTCCAAAGAAAGGACAATCTGGTAAATAAAGTGAAAAGTGGGGGACTTCCTCAACGATTCTCGAGACTCTTTTTCTTTTGTTTGTTGATTTCTCGCTGCAGAAGCTGAGCTTTTTGCTTTAAACATAATAAAGCAGAAGAAGCTGAGCTTTTTCTTCAACAATGTCTTTGCTTATTTCATGCAAAACTGTTCCCCGTCATTACATAAGTCACAACCTTACAAATTCCATTACTGTTTTTAACTAATACTAAAATTCCGACAAGCATAATTTGAGTTTCAGTTTAGTAATTGTATATGCAAAAGTCCCATAATTTCATGACAAAACTTTTAATCATTTCAATATATATGTTTTGGACAAAAGAAACAATCAGATATAGGATAATTATTTGGCTTTTCGTAAAACAAAATATGCCAAAAGAAGAACAAAAATGGAGCGTAAGCTTTGAGGGTAGGGTCCTACAAGTATTAGAATCCAAAATCATACCAATCTCGTGTCTTTTTCGGCTCCACATTACAACCATCCTTACGCATTCATTATTAATCGGTTTGTTCCGAATGAATCAACGACATTTCGGCTGGTTTAGAATTGTTGAACCGGAGATCTTTTATTTGAATTCAATCTGAAATAGTTTCCCTTATTAACAACTTTCTTCTTTGTTGACAACAACAAAAAAAAACAAACTTTTTAAAAAAATGGCAAAGAGAAGACATAGAGCTTTGTTTTCCCCAACTTTTCATAAATCTGTTTTGCCTCAGTATGAATTGTCACAAACTATTCAAATATATATTCTATACCCACAAGCTTTGAGGGTAGGGTCCTACAAGTATTAGAATCCAAAATCATACCAATCTCGTGTCTTTTTCGGCTCCACATTACAACCATCCTTACGCATTCATTATTAATCGGTTTGTTCCGAATGAATCAACGACATTTCGGCTGGTTTAGAATTGTTGAACCGGAGATCTTTTATTTGAATTCAATCTGAAATAGTTTCCCTTATTAACAACTTTCTTCTTTGTTGACAACAACAAAAAAAAACAAACTTTTTAAAAAAATGGCAAAGAGAAGACATAGAGCTTTGTTTTCCCCAACTTTTCATAAATCTGTTTTGCCTCAGTATGAATTGTCACAAACTATTCAAATCTATATTCTATACCCATCAATGGAACTCACTATATCTGAAAATGAAACTATATACTAACATTCACTTTCTTAAAATAGAAACTGATTCGTATCATGTCCTCCTTGTATCTGGTTGTTACATTAGAAACGGAAAAATAATAATCTAATAGTATTTAGAGTGATATGTTTTGTTCCACCTCCCAAGTTTGAAGGCAGGATAAGTCAGTAGATTCTTGAAGGGTTCTTCATGTAGTCTGCAAAAAAGAAAAAAAAATTACAATTATATAAAATAGTAATAAAGTGATCATGAAAAAATAATTGTGAGATATATAGTATTCAGTTTAATTTCATGCTTAATGCTTACTCGCATTCGCTTTTTGCATCTCTCTGTATCCACAGAGTTATCTCCACATTCTTCAGTCTCATGGCATCCTTCATAAACCATATTGTCTTCTTCATTGTCTTCACAAACGTGTGGAAGAGTGTTTTGATTGACAACTCCGTTCTCCGATGTGGAATAGTCGTTGAAGAGACGTACACCCCATCTCTTTACACTGATCATAGAGTCCTTATATGGAGCTAGAAAAGCAACGTTACCGACATGAAGTTGTATATCCACGTGATCGTAGTTCAGCTCAGCTAGAGGACGAGCATTGTCTTCGCTTATAGGGAAACAACAGTCGAATATAAACAGATGACTCCCATTCTCAATTGGCCAAAATCTATGTGGCTGGCCAAAAGATTCAAAGATGTTTCCACATCCGCCTTTGAACTGACAGTTTACATGGATATTTACTCCGCCTGTGCCCATAGAGATGGCGCAAATCACAACAGCGCAAACCCTAAATCTGAAGAACGGTTGCGAGAGAAAGCTATGACATAGAGAGATAGTCAAAGAGGAGGAGGTTCCACAAGTTTGATGAGTGAAATACGAAGGCACTTCTTCCCCTGGAAAGATTAGTTCCTGTAATACTCCTTGTTTTTCAAGAAGAGCTTCTTTATTCATGTTGATGCAGTTTGTGAAATCGAAAACAATCTTTGGTATTTCTTGAAGAGATGGAGAAGCCTCATTTTCTACTGCATTTGTCACCGCACTTGGACTATCGTTCAAGCTAGCTTCAGTCAATGCAACACAATTTGAAAAGTCAACATCCTCAAGACATTTCAGTTTAGAAATGTTAAAAGAAACATGCTTCAGATTTTTGCACCCCGCCATACAAATGAAGGTAAGATTACTGAAGTTCTCGATCCACCATGGAACCTCATCAATCGATGTTTCCATTAGAGTGAGCTCTGAGATGTTGGTTGAGATATCAGGAAAACTCTTCAACCTTGAGCATTTAGTCAGATCGAGTGCATACAGGGATTTGAGGTTGATGCCATTTGGAAGAATCTCCAAATTTATGCAATCTGCAATCTTCAACGCTCTCAGATTATTGAGATTCTGAAATGAAGAAGGAAGCTCCACCAAAGTTTGAATATCTGTGAGGACCAACTTCGTCAAACAGGGAGAGACCATGGCCATAAGAGGAGTAAGCGGCTGAACAAAACAACACAACAAATAAAGAAAATTAGAAGATGTCAACGATTATCAAATTTGCAAGATTTATTGTACGTTGCATAATATTTGAAAATATATAATCCATCCTTTTTTCTTATTCACATTCAATCTATATAAGCATTCACTTTCATACCTCGATTTCTGATACTACATAGATATATAGTTTCTTCCTCTCAAAACTTTATTTCACAACTCGACATAGCCACAATAATTGCTTATTTTCGTTTAAAAAAAATGGTTGGAAGAAACGGTATGTTAACTACATACCTGAACTCTTTCCCATAATTTTTCACTTTTCATACTGAACATTTCAAGCTCAACGAGATTCTCTAGACGTAAGTTAGGGATGAATTCTTCAATCGCTGTTTCGCTTAGATGGAGCACAGAGATGTTGCTTGAGATATCAGGAAAGCTCTTCAACTGTGAGCAACTTTCGAGATCGAGCCGTTCGAGAGATTCTAGGTTCATTCCGGTTGGAAGAGTCTCCAGATTTTTACAGAATGACATGTTTAACTCCTTCAGTTCACTGAGATGCTGAATAAAAGAAGGAAGCTCCACTAAACTTGAGCAATAGGCAAGATTAAGTTTCTCGAGATTAGTAGCCATGGAAAGATTTGGGAGTTCTTTTAGATTTCTGGATTCTCGTAAATCCATATTCCTGAGTTCTGTAAGTGGCTAGAGTACAAGTATAAAGGCATCAGATTGACTATAGTACACATCAGATTGTTATCTATAGATGTTTTATAACAAAAAGCATAAAGACATGATCTAGATCCCAATACTAATTACTCACTTTGTCCTATAATATGAAATGTTTAAGAATTTTTGTTTTTGCTTTTTTTTTATAAATGTTATTTGATATTTTGACTATTTAAATTCTAGAGTCTATTTATGATATTATGTTTTTAATTAATTGTTAAATGATGTTTTGTTTAGAAAAAAAACTTACATGAACTTTTTCCCACATCTTCTCAAGTTTGCTCCCTTGCATTTGGAGTTTCACGAGATTTTTAGGACAAAACTTAGAAGGCATGTGTCTCATTGGGTATCCGTCCAACCTCAAGAGTCTAAGTTTAGGTGGCAAATAGTCGAAATCTTCTTGCATGTGCCACTTACCTTCTTTCTTTTGTCCCCATTTCTTAGTGTAAATATTTAGAAAACGGAGATTTCTCATCCCTTTAAAAGTTTCCTTATGTATCTCCAACTCATCAATCTCATCTATATCCAGTGATATACCTATAATTTTTTTTGTTCCCTGAAAAATATAAGAATCATTAGGTTAAACAAGAAACTTTTAATCTTATAGAGTTATTTGGAAGGAGAAAGAAAAAATATATTACCGTACAATCTTCAAGTACATCACATACATTCTTTGAATCAAATAGGAACTCGAGTTCTCCTGGTTCACTGGACTGTGCACGAACAACTTCTTTTCCCATTTCTTCTACTAGGCAGTGCATCTCGATGATATTCGTATCAAAAGATGGTATAACATGTATAAGGGACTTATCAAGTAGAATCTCAAGACCTATATTAACATTCAACTCACTATCTGCAAGCATCAACTTGATGTAATTGATATCATCACCGTTGAAAAAACATGCAATGTAACGAAACAATGCTTTATGTTCTTTTCTTTCTAACCCATCGTAACTAACTCGTAGTGCTTTCTCGATTTTCCCGTCTAGACCTTTCCGTAGCGTTGGCAATATGTCTACCCAATACTTTTTGTCTCTCCCACGCATACTCGAACCTAGAAGGTTTAGACCCAAAGGAAGACCACCGGCACGCACCGCGACTTCAGAAGCCAGCTCCATGAAACCATCAGGTGGAGAGTTTTGCCTAAAAGCACTTCGACAGAACATCTCAAGAGCTACTTTTTTAGATGGCATACCAACCTCGTATATACAATTTATCCCATGACCCCTTAGCATCTGCTTATCTTTTGTAACCACAATGATCCTGCTTTGAGGACCAAACCAGTCATCCCCACCCACTAATGTATCTAACACCATTTGGTCATCTAAATCATCAATAAAGATGAGAACTTTCATGTCCTTTAGCTTCCCTTTCACGCCCCCTAAATGATCTACCTCTATCATCTGTTTACCTAATATCTTAGAGAGGAAGTTTTCTTGCAAGTGCAACTTCATGTTATAGTCATCCGGGTTGCTTTTGCTATAAGTTTCCATGCTCTTAGATATGAAACGCCTGTCTATGTAAATACTACCTTGGAAGTGTCGAGAGAGTCGATTGAACAAAACTCTTGCGATGGTAGTCTTACCAATCCCTGAGGAACCCCATATACCAATCATCCTCACTTCTCTAGACTCCAAATCCAACAAAGCACTCATTTTAGCAATATGATCTTCAATACCAACAAAGTTCTCAAAATCCTTTGATGGAGTTAAAAGCAGTTTTCCCAAAACATCATTAACGATTGCTTCAATCATTGTAGCTTCGTTACCCCTAAACAATAACAAACTATAATTTACACAAACATGTTTTAAAGTCTTTAAATAAAAGTATAACGATTCATAAAAACCTCACCATGTCACAGAATGATATCCAAGGATATTTGCTACATTAGTCAACGCTTCCTTCCATCGAATTTTCACTTCCTCTGTTTTGTCCTGGCATGTCTTTTCAAAGATTTTTCCAAAATCACCGGTTTGTTTTCTTACATGGGAAGGATCTAAACCGTAGAAAACCGGAATCACCATTTGACCAAACTCTTTCTTGCAACTCACGATCTCCAGCAATTCGTTGAGGCACCAACTCGAAGATGCGTAGTTTCTTGAGAACACAACCACAGCGATCCTCGAATCTTGAATTGCTTGTTTAAGCTCAGGATCAAGCGATCGGCTTTTCTCGATCTCACTGTCTCTGAAAGCAGTGATCAATTTTCGATCCAGCTCCTTGAGAAAGTGGCTCAAGAAAGTTACGCGGACGTCTTCCCCGCTAAAGCTCGGAAAGACATCGTAGAACCAGTTGCGAGAATCGGAGGAAGAGGAAGATGAAGGAGACATGATGGGTGAATTAAACTAGTTTTGGGAAGAAGAACGATACTTTGGTGATTGGGATTCTGATAAGATCAAAAGAGAAGTGAGACTCTAGATCTGTTTCTTAGATCTTTTTTTTGTGACAGGAACTTGACGGGAAGTTTCTTATTTGTTGACTTGATCATGACGACTTGAGAGGTTTATAGTTAATACTTTTTTTTTAAAGATTTACTTTTTTGTCCGTAGCGAATGAAATTATACTAACTAGGGATGTTTACTTGCTACGCCCGGATTTTTTTATAATTATTTAATTATTATTTTAATTTTAAATATAATATATTATTTTTAATGTTATTTTGATGTAGTTATATATAAAAATATACTATGATTTAATTTAAGATTTTACTAATTGATGTAAGTAAAAATTAATTGTTAATCTAAAACTTATTATTTGTATATAAACTCATTGTTGTTCACTAATTTTTTAAATATTATAAAATAAATTTTGTTTTAATTAAATTTGATATATAATTTGAACTCAACAATTATAAATTTTCTATTTATTTAATTTAAAAACAATTTTTCATTTTAAATAAAAAAAAAATAATTTATCAAATATATTAGTACAACTAAAGCACCTGATTATTGTGTTTGTATAGTGTTTTTATTTCATTAATAGACACAAATACAAAATAATAATCAATATTCCAAACTCTTATAAATCCGTAAAAGAACTATTGTTCATATAAATAAAAACAATATTTACATAGTATAAAACATCATTATCATATTGATAAACTGCAATTTTGATTTGGTCTCTGAAGCATCTGTAAACTATAAAAGTGTTGATGAATAAAGCAAGTAAAACATATACAAATACAATTTCATACTAACTCATTCATTTAGACAAAGTATCTTGAGTTTCTAAAAATTCAAAAGGTTTAAAAGGTTCATTTGCATTTAACTTGTAATTTAACTTACATATTTTCCTTACACTACATATATATTTTGATGAGCTTTTATAATTAAATTAATAATATATATTATATAAATAAAAATAACATTTACATAGTATACAAAATCAATATCATATTAATAAACTATAATTTTCATTTGGTCTCTGAAGCATCTGTAAACTATAAAAGTGTAGATGAATAAAGCAAGTAAAACATGTACATATACAATTTCATATTAACTCATTCTTTTAAACAAAATATATTAAGTTTCTAAAAACTCAAAAGATTTAAAAGGTTCATTTGCATTTGGCTTGTAATTTAACTTAAATATTTTTCTTACACTATACATATATTTTGATAAATCTTTATAATTAAATTAATAATAAAAGAGTTTCTTAACCAAAAAAGGTCATGTTGATGTGGATGGTCATGGATGTTTTTCTGACATTGTTTACATAAAAAGTTGTATGTTATATTTTAAATATAGAAATATAATATATTAATGTTTAAAATAGAGTTATGGTAGTCTATTTTCTGTAAATGTATTGTATAAATTTTTGTAATAAGTAATGTATTCATAAAGTTGTATAAGCTTATCTTTGTAGAGACAATAGATAATTTTGTATCCACGTATGTGAAATACAACAGTGTTAATTTCAAAATTTTATTTATTTATTTGTTATATATATAATCTTTATGTTTCTAATAGATGAATGTTTTAGATTTTTCTAAATTGTGAATGTTTGATTTTTCTTTTAGAAATTATTATTTTGTACCCTTCTATCTATTAGCTATTATTTAAGTTTTTTGGAGTAATTTCTTTTCCAAAATATTCATTGTATTAGAAAAAAGATTATATACTAATGCTATATATTTAAATAATATTTACTTTACTGATTCAAAAATAATATTTAATTTTATTTATTTTTTGTTTATTAACTTTAATAGTTTTTGTGGTTCTATTTATTTATTTTATGTGTGTTTAAAAAATAAAAGTGAGTTTTTTTATTAATGTTTTCTTACTGATGTGGCAAAAGAAGAATATAATTTTAAAAATCTGATGTGGATGGCTTTAGAAGCCCCAAACAATTGCTTTTATTTAGTATATATGATATTATAATGAAATAAATGAGCATTTTCTTTTCTTGGTATTGTAAATATTTGTGAAAATGGGTATTTAATTAGCTTTGGAATTAAAAACTTTAAACGTAATTTCGAATAAACTTTAATTCATTCTCTATACATGATTACACCTACAAACAGAAATAAATAAATACAACTCACTTTTTTTTCTGAGAGAAAAGGCAAAAAGAAGAAGCCAGAAAGCTTGGTTTTTCGAATTACATAATCACAAAGCTTTTTTCACAATTTGTATAGCCGTTGTAATATGGTATATTAGTAAAACACTGTCGTTTGGGTGCTATATCACAATAAAACCAGCTGTACAATTGACCGTTACAATTGTATAAACGGCGACGTTTTATGGCCACATAAGAAAAACTTTCTTTATGCGCTCCTCTTTCTTTTTTTGTTGTCAAATCATTATCGTTCTTCTGCGTTCTTATTTATCGGAGACGGAGATCAAATTCAAAATCGGCGTCTCCAGCTTTTCTTGAGTTTTTAGTCTCTTCTTATGTCTTCTCGCCTTTGAATTCAACAGATTCATTGACTTTTGTATCTTAATTTTGCGTAGAGTTTTTGAATTTCGTTTGTTTTTCTTTGGAGATGATGAATCACTTCTGAAGTCATCACCGTCTCTTTATAAGTCGTAATCGCTTTTATGGGTTTTCTTTTGATTTTACTGCCTTCTATTTAAATCATTTTGTTTTTCTTTATATTTTGATTCTGGCTCTAGGGTTTTCAAATTCCCCCTCTTTTTCTATCTATCTTCGATAAAATTTTGTATATTTAGCCAATAGTTTTCTCTGATTCTATTTATCTTCTATGAAATTGTGTATTTTTAACTAGCCTATAGTTTCCTCTGATTGCTGTCGGCTAGATTTCAGTTTTTGTTGTTTGTTTTGTTTTAGTTTTCTTGATTTGTATAGTTCAACCTCGTCTAGTTTTCAATTCGCTTTTCTTTTCTTGTTTTGAATTTTCGTTTTTTGATGTCTTTCGAGTAGATTTGTTAATTAACATTTAGTTTTGTGTCTTCAGGTTTTCCACAATTTCATTTGTTGTAGTTATTAATCTGTAACTAGCTCTGTGGAATTGTTGTGATATATCTCAAGAAGATGTTTGTTGTGCTGATCCCTCTTCATTGATTCTCTATACTTGATACGAGGTAATCCTAATTACCTCTCTAAAAGGTCCATGATGCAAGAACGGAAATGGTTTTGTCCCGCTTCTATAAAAAAATGCCTCGCCCTAAACACGAGGTAATCTTAATTACCTCTCTCAAAAGTTCCTGATGCGAAAACACAAGTGAGTGTTTGTTTGTCCCGCTTTGAATAACTCGGTCTATAAACAAATGCCTCATCCTAGTATTGAGGTAATCTTAATTACCTCTCTAAACTGTCCCTGATGCGAGAACACAAAAGAGTGTTGTCCAGCTTGTCTGGAATTAACTCAGTATCATAGCATGTCAAGCTATAAACAAATGCATCGACCTGGTCCTAGAGACAAGGTAATCTTAATTACCTCTCTGAAACGTCCCTAAGATATCCGTGACGCCAAATGAGTTTGTCCAGCTTGTTTAGAAACAAAGTAATCATAATTTACCTCTGTGAAAATTCCCTAATGCCAGAATCAAAAGAGTTTCTACAGTCTATTTGAATAACTCAGTTTTCTAGTTCACTGAGATTCGAACAAATGCCTCGTACTTGAAACGAGGTAATCTTAATTACCTCTGTGAAAAGTCCCTGATCTTGTCCTTGTCCGGTCTATTTGATCCTAGTCCACTGAGATATAAACAAATGTCTCGTACTAGAAACAAGGTAATCCTAATTACCTCTGTGAAAAGTCCATGATGCCACAATCAAAAGAGCTTGTCCGGTTTCCTAGTCCACTGAGATTCGAACAAATGCCTCGTCCTAGAGACATGTAATCATAATTACCTCTATGAAAAGTCCATGATGCCAGAATCAAAAGAGCTTGTCGGGTCTATTTGGATAACTCAGTTTCCTAGTCCACTGTTTCGAAAAAATGCCTCGTACTTGAAACGAGATAATCTTAATTACCTCTGTGAAATGTCCCTAATGCCAGAATCAAAAGAGCTTGTCTGGTCTATTTGAGTAACTCGGTTTCCTAGTCCACTGAGATTCGAACAAATGTCTCGTACTTGAAAAGAGGTAATCCAAATTACCTCTGTGAAAATTCCATGATGACAGAACCAAAAGAGCTTGTCCGGACTATTTTAGTAACTCAGTTTTCAAGTCAACTGGGATTAGAACAAATACCTCATACTAGGAAAAGGTAATCTTAATTGCTTGCGATCATAGCCACTACTCAAGGTATAAGAAATATCCCTTATGCTAGAATGCAAATGAGGTTGTCCTAACTCTTTGGATAACACAAATGCCTTGGCCTAACTCTAGTTGGTAAGGCTAGTAAGAAACGATTACCTCTCTGAAGTCTGAACTTGCCCTAGCTAAAAGAAATACCAAAAAGCGTCCCTGATTCCAGAATAGATTATGTTTAATATCTTTACTGAGTTTAGAAATATATTCCACCTCTAACGCTTAATCTGTTTCTGTCGTTTTTATGCAGGTTGACCTTAGTTCTACAAATTCAAAGATCGGCACAATGATTTCAGATTGTTTTCTTTCTACTCCTTTATAAAAGTTTTGGGTTTGTCCTTCTCCTTGGAGTTTTATTTTAGGAGATGGTCTTTAAAAGATCTTTAAATTGCTTTTGCTTTTAGTTTTTTCTCGTTAACTAGATATCCTAAAGTACTTTAACTTATTTGCAGAAGTTTGATATTGCTGCTTGAGTTAATTTTACAGATTGATGGATTTCATTCATTTCAGTTGTCTAAATCCTGATATCAGCCATACCTGATTGTTTTTATTTTATTTGTGTAGTTCTCTACGAGGAATTCATCTCTGTAATTTCGTATTATTGTTAGGGTCCCTAATTTGCTCTCGTAATATAAAAGCTATCTTGATCTTAGCATTGCATCAGTGCGCCTACGTAGTTTAAAATTGTCTCAGATACTTACATGAGAAATGTTATGCTTTTAATGTGTTTTATCATATTAGTAATGCTGTCTATAAGGAAAGTTAAAACAATAGTATGTAATTTCTAACATCAGTCAAATGTAGATCGTTAGCATTTGTTCTTGAATATGTTTCATGTTATTTTTCAGTTTGATTATTTCTTGGTGCTATTTTTGTTTCAAGCATCATCATATAAAGTTTTATATGTGTGTTATGCCTCTGTTTCATATATTTCTGCTCAGATCATGTATGTATTTGATTCCTAAGTTAACACTGACATGTTCTGTAGCCTTTTTATCTTTACATTTACTTTCCGGTTAAAAATATTGTTTCAAGATGACTTTTTTGTCCGACTTTTTCTTATCTTCCACCTAAAAAACAGTCTTTATGAATCATTAAACCATGGTAATGAAACAAAACCATAAGTATCATTTTGAGTTTCATTTGTTGTCTTGTCTCTTCAAAAAATGGAAAAAATTCTATTGAAATATTTGAGTATTTTCTCGGAATTTTGTGAAAATTTGGTATTCAATTAGCTTCCGCCCCTTTTAATTTTTTTAGCACTTTAAACGAAATTTCGAAAAAACTTTGATTCGCCTCTATACATTGATTACACCTACAAGCAGAAATAAGTGTAAAGAAGAAAGGCAAAGAGAAGACAGAGAGAGCTTGGTTTTTCCAATTATACCAAACTTTTCATAAATCTGTTTTGCTTTTCAGTATCAACACAATCTTTTCACATCGTATACCCATCTCACTATATCTTAAAATGAACCCGATTCTCAGATCCATAAAGAATCAAACTCAAACTCAAACTTATTCCAATGAATGTAAACAACAAACAAAGAACCAAAGAAGAAAGAATTATAATGAACGAATAGAGAGTGTGTGAGAAGAAGAAGCAGATACCATCTTCATTTTAAATGACTTTCACTCCGCTTGGGCGTTTCCCTTCCATAGCATCCTTTTTGTCACGACAGTCTATGCATAAGAAGGGTCCTTGCCACGGCTTTAGACTGGTCGAGAAGATCGAACCCGCGTGGACTGATATGCCTTCGCTTGGAGCCAAGTCTAGTTGACATATCGCACACGTGAACATCCCTCCTGTTGTTGATTCCTTAGAATAGTCACCTGATCCTAACCTGCAACGATATATACACATACGAAGTTCTCAGAGAGGACTCAAACGCATCAATTCTCTTAAGTCCGAAAGAAGATAAAGGAGTGACCTTTCGGCGAGCATTGCGGATCCTTCTTCGAAGAGCTCTTCAACGATACTGACAGTGGAGAGTTTCTTGGAGAGTCTGTTAGATTTCTTCCTGAAGAGCAAAGATCTAAAGAAGTTGTTGTGTTTCTTAGATGGAGAAGGCGATGGTTCTTGCGAGTTTTCAGGTGGGATTATGTCGACGACAATGCAGGTTGTGTCATCCTTAAGTCCTCTTTTCCTTAATGCTTCCTGCATAAACACAAACCTCAAGACTCGTTTTAATCACTTGTTCACAGGCACAATTTGAATATTTTGGTTAAAGAAAACTTCAATCACCTTAACTACTTGTCTAGTAGCGAGTTCAGCGGGTAAGCCACGGCAAGTTTTAGCCACGGCTTCTGAAGAGAGAGCGTCCCATATGCCATCAGAGGCGATGATGAGCCTTCCTCCAAGGTTTGAGAGCTTTATATAAACACACACACACACACACACACACACACATACACCAAATGTGAAGGACACAGTGAGAGTTTGTTTTTGCAAATGATAATAGGAAACACCAACAATAAACATACCTTCACTTGCTTTACAAAGGGAACTGGAACAATGAACTCGCCAACATCCATATCTCCGATAGACCTTGAAAGGCAGAGACCTCCAGGCCAACATCGTAGAGGACCAATCTGCAGTATTAACATAGTTTTTTTTCAAGGCTCTCATAAATGGAAACACAGATTTGAATGAAAAGAAGGCACAAGAACACACCTCAACGCCTCCTACAATGCTTAGCCTGCCAACTTCTCCGCCACTAGCAGTCACACGTTCCCTCCTGAATCATATGATAATGTTTGCTTTTAAGATCCAAAGACAAGTTGACCAAAAAAAAAGATCCAAAGACAAAAGCTTTAGAAATAGTGAGATCATTTATATCAGGTGCATACTCTTCTGTATTATCTTCAAGCCTGTGATCCACAGTGAGGTTGGATACTGAACCGCCAGAAGTATCCAAGACGCAGCGCGAGTCCCCAACACAAGCAACGGTCACTGTCCATCCATCAACTATCACAAATGTGGCTGTTGTTCCTGAAGTTTCTCCTGTTGTCATAAACCACACATCATTCATTGATTCGATCAAAAGAGTGAGTAGTAATGCTCTCTTTCTAGAAGCACATACCTCTGCTCTGAAACTCTTTATCGGTCTTCACGAATCCAGATACTAACGCACAAGGTAAGGCGTGAAGCCACTCGTCACGGCTAAGCCCACGGGGAAGAGCACTAAGAACATGTCTCAACAGATTCTCCTTTGTGAAAACCGCTGCAGCTTTTCCATTGTGCCCATCAAATATCTAACATTGCAGAAACACAAAAACTACAGACAGTCATAACACAGTAACAAATAGACACCGACAAAAGTAGATCCATCAATAGCTTTCGTCCCACACAAATCATCCAGCTGAACAATCAAACAGTGAGGATCGAGGTTCACTTTTGGACTCCAAGAGATAAATAAGGCATATCAACAGTCCTGACACTCAAGAATACTCAGATTTCAGGAGTTCATATGCAAAAATCATATCTTCAATTTTGGATTCCAAGAGATACTAAAGCATATCAATAGTCCTCAGACTCAAGAATACTCAAATTTCAGGAGTTCATATGCAAGAATCATATCTTCGATTTTGGATTCCAATAAATACTAAATCAGTAGTCCTGAGACTCAAGAATACTCAAATTCAGGAGGTCATATGCAAAAATCATATCTTTGGATTATAGAAATAAGCTACTTTAAGTAATGCATCAAAAGGTCAGATTTAGATTCTGATTTACCGCAAAGACAGAGAAAGTAGTTGAAGTATTAGAAGGAACTCGAAGACAATCAGTATTGATCAAGAAATAATCTTCGCCTTTCCTAGATTGAGCAGCTTGTCCGAATCTCACAATCGGTTTCTCCATCTTAGCAGCTTTCGTTTCTCTGCTAATCAGAGCAGCAAGAGGTACAAGATTCTCATGATGATGATGATTACGCCTCTTTGCTTCTCCAGACGCCATTACTAACAGCTTACTTAGACCCGAGAAAACCTTAGAACAATCTCAAATCTTATAACAAACGATTTTTCAGAGGCCAAGTCATAAATTTGTTGCTGTAGCAATCCGATTTCCTCTGAATCGAAACTTCAAGCTACAAACTTTACCTGCAAATACCATTGAGCAAATCTGAATCATGGAGTAAAAAAGTTCGGTAAAGGAAGTATTTTTGTTTTTGTTTTTTAATTTGTATGAGACATTAGTAAGCAAAACTAACTTGGGGATTTGATGTTTTTCTTGCTCCTATTTGTTCGGAAAGCAAAGGAGAGAATGTCTGTCTCGTGATTTTCCGGTGGCGAAGACAAGAGCAAGTGCATATCTGAATTTAGGCAAACACAGAAAATGACAAAGAGTAGAAGAAATATTAAAGAGTTTCCGAAGGGAGAAGGAAGCTCGACGCGAAGTTGCGGAGAAAGAAACGCGTTTATGGTGCTGACCAGAAAATAAAAATTGTAAAAAAAAAAAAAAAATCAATAATTCAAATCCTTTCAATTTTGGATCAAATTCGGTTCTAGTCAAAATATATTCCTTTTTTTTTAATTCCGTTTGATTTGATTTAAGTTTATTGCTTATAAAACTACTTATAAGAATAATAACACAAATATTCGATTTTTTTATAGGAATTTCTTTTGTTCGATTTTGGATCTAATCCACACAAATATTTAAAATCTGATTGAATCAGTTTATAGGTATTATAGTATAAAAATTGAACTGAGAGATTTAATTTGTGTGTACCGTAAGTCATCTGGTCGCTTTTGTAATGACTAATGAAGGTTTAGTTATTGTTTGATTGTTATGTAAATTTCCAATTTTTATTTATAATTGAAAATTATAGTTAGCGCGCTCCCTCACTATAATTACGTTTTGGGCTTTCTTGGGTTTTAAATTGGGCCAATTACTCGGGTTACTTTAGTTTAATTAAAATACTTAACGGCTAGTAGTTCAATAAGTGTTATTGGCTGATAATTATTTGTTTTTTTTTTTGGACTAAAAGCTGATAATTATATTTGAAGTTTGAATTCGATAAACCAAACATTTCTCTCTCTTCACCGTTATTCGCTTCGCACGATCATCGTCTCTCGTCTTCTACTTTGATTTCCTTTGTAATTAGCGGCGGATATGGAAATAGTATCATCGCCGTCGTGATGTTGTGAATTGTGATCTCCGAGAGTTTGTTTTTACTTGGGTTTTTGGTAGAAAGGGAGAGTGCCGATTAGGGTTTTTCGCTTCGCACGATCATCGTCTCTCATCTTCTACTTTGATTTTCTTTGTAATTAGCGGCGGATATGGAAATAGTACCATCGCCGTCGTGATGTTGTGAATTGTGATCTCCGAGAGTTTGTTTTTACTTGGGTTTTGGGTAGAAAGGGAGAGTGCCGATTAGAGTTTTCGCTTGGGCTGTGACGAGAGATGAACGGCGCACGTGAATCATGGAATCGGAAATTCGCTTAATCTTGGTTTGTCTCTTGTCGCTCAATTTCAATATTTCTTGGTTTAATTTTAATGCTTTTGATGTTGATCTTCTCACTAGAACGTATCCTCATATTTGATTATTGTGTAATTTGTTCTAGTTTCGATTTGGTATCCTCATCTTTGTATATATGTTCATTAGTACTCGTGAATTTTATAGAGAATACGTAATGATATAAATCTGGTCCCATTTCTTGTTTTTTTTCAGGTTCGAAATTTTATCCAGAATAGATTTCGTATTTTGTAGAATCTCATGCCACTACCATTGTTGTCAAATAGTGGAAGAACCATACAAATTCTTCAGGTTTTTCTTCATATACTTTTGTTCTCTGTTATGCCTCAAGATACCATTTGCTCTGTTAGTAGAGAACGTGGCTAGTGTGAAGTAACCAATGCTAGAGATGATGGAGGATCCTTTCTTGAAAACACTCCATTGTTAGGATTTTAATTCACCGCATAATCTCGTTCAGATTATGAATAAGGGTATTACTATTACTCAAACTTCTCTTATTTGTCTATGGAGATTTTACATGATAGGTTAGTGAATGTTAAGGAGTTTAAATTAGTTTTGTTGTGATTTTGTTGATCAATATGTGTGTTGCATCTACTTAGTTTTTTTCGTAATTATGCAACCGTGGTTTGCTCAAAATGATGAAATAGGTACTAAATTGAATGTGGGGTTGTTTCGTATTACTTTAGGTTCATCATCTTTGAAGCTTGTTGTCCCAAGGCTATTGGAATGGTGTTCTGGAACTTCTGCTACATATAAAGAGCATATTGGTTTCATCTTACACAGAGATAAGTCTATTTTTCTCTTTATGTTATTCAGGAATTTTGTCAGCATCACAAATATCTAATACAAAAAATTGCCAAACAGCTCACGAACATCAATAATAACACTAACATACAACATAGAAAAATATAGTGCACATCATCTCAAACTAAATACTACACCAACATTTCACACACACAAAAAATACCAAGCAAAGAAACTAGAATCCCAAACCAAACTAGAAACACGAAAACTACCACAAATATCACAAACAAAATACAAAATAATCATCTTAAGCCAAACGCTACACAAACATCATTAATAGCACATAAATATATCTATGAAACACCAAAACCATAATCTTCTTGTTTCGAGTCTCTATGTTTGTTTCTATGAGTTTTGATAACTCTGTGTGTATATAATTTTGCAGTATCGTAAAGAAGCTGAATGGCTGAAAGCGACCGTGTTATTGCTTGCACACAACCAAGCGCCTCAATGTTCAGGTTCGTTTCACCAAATCTTACAGCTCAAGTCAAATTATTAGTGTCAAGCCGTGATATTAGTCTGAATTTGTGCTTAATCACATGCAATTTGATTGGCAGTCGTTGCGAGAAATTGGTTGAAGAGATGAAATTCAAGCTTGGGGACGAAGTGTGGTATACCATTCCATTCAATCATACAACTTTGGTATGACTCTTTCTTGAACATCAATGTACCTATTCAACGTTAAAGCATTCTTATGATGCCTCAAAAATCTTTTGCTTTGTTTTAGCACAGGGAGTGACTAGTGTGAAGGTTCTCATATAGTACCAATTGTAGAGATGATAGAGGATCCTCTTTTGCCAAGTATATGTAAGGATTGTTTTGTGTGGTACCAATTCGGTTAGATTTTGATAGAGTGCAAAACCTTATATGTATTGTGAATCGTCTATATTGCTAGTGAAAACTCAGGAATGATGCTGAAAGTCAAGGACTTGATTCTGTTTTCTGATTGAAGTATTGTATGTAGAAAGTGGAATTTGAGCTAAGTCAACAAAACTTTCACTTTACTCTCTTGCTTGTTTAGTTATTGGTTTTGAATTAAGTTCATTAGTCTCTCCATGAAAATTTAATTATTTTTCTCATTGTTTCAGGCTCAAACATTCTTTAGTGAAATATCATTATTGTATAACTAACAAGATCTCGAGGAGAATAGAGATCCAAGCCACCATCATTATTGTCTGAGCGATTGGGCAGTGGTATTCTCCGTTATTCCTACGGTTTATTTCCTTTTCTTTGTCCGCTGTGAAATTTTGGGGAGAGCACTTGGCTTTTGGTAAATCAACAATCAAAGTTTGATAGGAGATTCCAGTTGAATCAAATTAACTCAAAAACTAGTTGGATCTTCTAGTTCCATGTCTCTATGTTCATTTTTCTAATTTTGATTAGTCTTTGTCTGCAGTACCTTTGTTCCAGCTAAAATGGGATCACAAGTGCTAGTTCCTTTCCGAGGCTCAGAGAACTCTCCTCGACATAAGTTGATGGGAGATTTAGGACAGATAATCTGTTTTTTTGGTTTAATACAATGCTTTTAAAGGTATGTCAAGAAACACATTTTTGTAAAATCATGTTTTGGATCGACAATTTGATTAGGTGTTTGTGGCTTGTATATTCCAGGTAGTGCCGATGATATTGGATCCAAGAGATGAAGCCTCGAATAAGGCTGTCATGGCAAAGGCTAATGGGGTTATCAATCTAATTGGTATAGTTGTTTTGTTTATATAAATTTGGTCCAACAATTGTAGTTAAAACTTGTAAATAGCAATTCTGTTCTTTTACTTTTCGGATGATATTTATTCTAAACCTCAGGGAGAGAGTTGGAGACCAGAAATTTCAGCTTCGAGGAGCTGAATCATCATATGGCTGAGAAACTTGCATTGGTATGTGTTTGAATCCTGACAAGATGTCTCTAGAAACTCTGGTGAAGAGGTTTTAATTTTTTCGCTCCTCAGATTGTTGCCTTCTTTTGAAATGAGCGGCACATATTTAGCCCACAGGATGATACAATCTGCTTTGGCATTGCTCTTTTGGTTATGTCTAATTACGTTGGGACTCTGTGGATTCGTTGTTTCAGGTTGCCAAGGAACATAGTGGGATACTGGGATCATTAGGAGCATTAGTGTCATCACCTTCAAGAATGCAGAGGGCAAAAGCTGCTGCTGAGGTAAACCTATACCTGCTTTCTCCACACGGAAGACTCTCTTCTGTAATTGTTATCCCTAATATTTGATTCGTTATTTTCACGATCCTACTTCTTTTTCAGAGATACGATCCTTTAGGTTTCTTATGTAGAACTGGAGAAATCATATATGATGTTTATAATCTCATAAAGTCTATTTAAATTAGAATAATTCTAAAAAAATCCAAACTATGTACCCTAGGATGGCTTAATTATTAGCTTTTTTGTCATCAGCCTCTAATCAGTAACTGATTTATATTTGTTTTCTATGCCACAGTCATGAAACTTGCGACCATGATCGGTACAGAGGACAGAATCTTGAACCCCTGGGCTCAGTTCGATAAAAAATATGGTTTCCTCTCACTCATAAGTGTTGGGACCACCAAGTAAGTCTTAAACCCTTTTTCCAGTTCATAGCAAGTCTAATGTGGTTATCAATCTAATTGGTAGTTGTTTTGTCTATATAATTTTGGTCCAACAATTATAGTTAAAACTTGTAATAAGCAATTCTGTTCTTTTACTTTTCGAATGATATTTATTCTAATCCACAGGGAGAGAGTACGAGACCAGAAATTTCAGTTTTGAGGAGGCGAGTCATCATATGGCTGAGAAACCTGCATTGGTTACTGTTTGAATCCTTGTCTCCAGACACTCTGGTGAAGAGGCTTCAATTTTTTTCGCTCCTCATTTTTAACGTTCAGGATGATACAATCTGCTTTGGCATTGTCTAATTACGTTGGGACTCTGGATTCGTTGTTTCAGGTTGCCAAGGAACATGGTGGGACAATGCAATATATCTCAAGTTTCGTCCCTAGGAGCTTCAGTGTCATCTCTCCTTCAAGAATGCAGTGGGAAAAAGTTGCTGCTGAGGTAAACCTATAACTGCTATCTCCACACGGAACACTCTCACTCAAAGGTGATGGCACCACCATGTAAGTCCTAAACCCTTTTTACAGTTATTTTTAAGACTACTCTTTGTCAATATTATTGTTCATTAGAGGTTGCTGCGAAAGATTAGCTAAAGAGAAAAGAGTCAAACTTGGGGACGAAATATTGGTTATACCATTTGATTCAGAGATCATACAACTTCGATATGATTCTTCCTTGAACATTCATGTACTTTTTGATGTATAGAGCATTATAATAACTTCTTAAAATACCTTTTACTTTGTTAGCATAGGGCATGAAGGTTCTCACACATACACATTCTAAACATTGAGATGATCATCTCTTGAAAAAGTATATGTAAGGATTCTTTTTTGTGGCGTAATCTCGTTCAGATTATGAATAAGTGTATTAGGATTTGTAAACTTTCTCTTATTTGTCATTGTGCAGTGTTTATCATGGTAGATGAAGCTCACGTTTTATGCTTGCACACAGCCGAAACGCCTCATTGTCCAGGTTCGTTTCTCTCTTCCACCAAATATTACAGCTCAAGTCTAAATATTAGTGTCTCAGGTAGAGATATTAGTTTGAATTTGTGTTTAATCACATATAATTTGATCATCAGTTTTTGCGAGAGAGTGGCTGAAGAGCTGAGGATGAAGTTGGTTATACCATTTGATACAAAGATCATACAAATTCGGTAAGATTCTTTCTCGAACCTTCATGTACTTTTAAACCGTATAGAGCATGCTTATGAGAATATGAGGCCTCAAAGTATTTTTTCCTTTATTTACACAGGGCATTACTTGTGTGAAGGTTCTCAGTTCTCACATAATCGTAGAGATAATCGAGGATCCTCTCTTGACAAAATCTACATAAGGTTTATTTTTTGTGCGGCATGTTCTCGTTTAATGTATGAATAAGGGTATTAGGATTTCTAAACTTTCTCTTATTTGTCATTGTGCAGTGTTTATCATGGTAGATGAAGCTCACGAGTTTCATCAACACATAATCAAGATGTGTTTAGTTTCAATCCAGAGGATAATATAAAGAGATCGTGCCTCAGATTAAGTTCGCAGGTTTGTTTTTTCCCTTATTTTTGGCCACAGTTTCATGAAACATCAGCTATGCTCTTAAACCATGTTTGTGAAAATGTTGGATATGTTTTAGGTCCCACCTCATTTCCTCCGATCATCGATATGGCCATGACTATTGTTGAGCAGAGAGCGGTGGCCAATATCACGTCCTAGTGATATTAGCAGATGGGCAGGTACGAGCAATACTGGTATGATCCTCTGTTTTTGTGTCAAGGGAAGAAATCTCAATTTGTCTAGTATGAAGTAACTAATGCTAGAGATGGTGGAGGATCCTTTCTTGAAAACACTCCATTGTTAGGATTTTAATTCAGCATAATCTTGTTCAGATTATGTATAAAGGTATTAGTGAACTTTCTCTTATTTGTCTATCGACATTTTACATGATAGATTTAGTGAGTGCACTGTTGAGGAGTTTAAATTAGTTTGGTTGTGATTTTGAAGATGAATATGTTGCAGCTACTTAGTTTTTTCATAATGATGCAACCATGTTTTGCTCAAAATGATGAAAGTAGGTACTAAATTGAATGTGGTGTTTGTTTCGTATTGCTTCAGGTTCATCATCTTTGAAGCTTATTGTCCCCTTAAAGCTATTGGAATGGTGTTCTGGAACTTCTGCTACAGATAAAGAGCATATTGGTTTCATCTTACACAGAGATAAGTCTATTTTCCTCTTTATGTTATTCGGTTTGTCAGCATCACAAATATTTAATACAAAAAATTTCAAACAGCTCACGAACATCAATAATAACACAAACATACAACATAGAAAAATATAGTGCACCAGAATCATCATCTCAAACTAAATATTACACCAACAATTCACACACACGATAAATACCAAACAAATAAACCAGAATCCCAAACAAAACTAGAAACATAAAAACTACCACAAATATCACAAAAAAAATACAAAATAATCATCTTAAGCCAAACGCTACACAAACATCAATAGCACATAAATATATCCAAGAAATACCAAAACCATAATCTTCTTGTTTCGAGCCTCTATGTTTGTTTCTATAAGTTTTGATAATTCTGTGTGTATATAATTTTGTAGTATCGTAAAGAAGCTGAATGGCTGAAAGCGACCGTGTTATTGCTTGCACACAACCGAAGCGCATCAATGTTCAGGTTCGTTTCACCAAATCTTGCAGCTCAAGTCAAATTATTAGTGTCAAGCCGTGATATTAGTCTGAATTTGTGCTTAATCACATGCAATTTGATTAGCAGTTGTTGCGAGAAAGTGGCTGAAGAGATGAAATTCAAGCTTGGGGACGAAGTGTGGTATACCCTTCGATTCAATCATACAACTTTGGTATGATTCTTTTTAACGCATAGAGCATTCTTATGGTGCCTCAAAATATCGTTTGCTTTGTTTTAGCACAGGAAGTGACTAGTGTGAAGGTTCTTATATAGTACTAATTGTAGAGATGATAGAGGATCCTCTTTTGCCAAGTATATGTAAGGATTGTTTTGTGTAGTACCAACTTGGTTAGATTTTGATAGAGTGCAAAACCTTATATGTATTGTGAATCATCTATATTGCTAGTGAAAACTCAGGAATGATGCTGAATGTCAAGGACGTGATTCTGTTTTCTGATTGAAGTATTGTATGTAGAAAGTGGAATTTGAGCTAAGTCAACAAAACTTTCACTCTACTCTCTTGCTTGTTTGGTTATTGGTTTTGAATTAAGTTCATTAGTCTCTCCATGAAAATTTAGTTGTTTTTCTCATTGTTTCAGGCTCAAACTTTCTGTAGAAGATATCATTATTAATAGAGATCCAAGCCACCATCATAATTGTCTGAGCATTCCCCGATTATTTCCTTTTCTTTTTCCGCTGTGAAATTTTGGGAAGAGCACTTGGATTTTGCTAAATCAACAATCAAAGTTTGATAGGAGATTCTATTTGAAGCAGATTAACTCAAAAACTAGTTGGATCTTCTAGTTTCATGTCTCTATGTTCATTTTTCTGATTTTTTATTAGTCTTAGTCTATATTATTTTACAGTACCTTTGTTCCAGCTAAAATGGGATCACAAGTGCTAGTTCCGTTCCGAGGCTCAGAGAACTCTCCCCGACATCTCAAGTTGATGGGAGATTTAGGACAGGTAATATGTTTTTTGGTTTAATACAATGCTTTTAAAGGTATGTCAAGAAACACATTTTTGTAAAATTATGTTTTGGATCGACAATTTGATTAGGTGTTTCTGGCTTGTATATTCCAGGTAGTTCCGATAAATTTGATCCAAGAGATGAAGACTATATTAAGGCTGTCATGGCAAAGGCTAATGGGGTTATCAATCTAATTGCTAGTTGTTTTGTCTATATAATTTTGGTCCAACAATTATAGTTAAAACTTTTAATAAGCAATTCTGGTCTTTTACTTTTCGAATGATACTTATTCTAATCCACAGGGAGAGAGTACGAGACCAGAAATTTCAGTTTTGAGGAGGCGAATCATCATATGGCTGAGAAACTTACATTGGTATCTGTTTAAATCCTGACAAGATGTCTCCAGAAATTCTGGTGAAGAGGTTGCAAATTTTTTCGCATTGCTCTTTTGGTTATGTCTAATTACGTTTGGGACTCTGTGGATTCGTTGTTTCAGGTTGCCAAGGAACATGGTGGGACAATGAGATATTTCAAATTTCGTCCCTAGGAGCTTCAGTGTCATCTCTCCTTCAAGAATGCAGAGGGCAAAAGTTGCTGCTGAGGTAATCCTATACCTGATTTCTCCACACGGAACACTCTCACTCAAAGGTGGTGGCACCACCAAGTAAGTCTTAAACCCTTTTTGCAGTTATTTTTCTAAGTTTTAATCACTCTTTGTCTATAATATTTTTCACTAGAGGTTGCTGCGAAAGATTGGCTAAAGAAAAAAGAGTCAAACTTGGGGACGAAATATTGGTTATACAATTGATTCAGAGATCATACAACTTCGGTATGATTCTTCCTTGAACATTCATGTACTTTCTGATGTATAGAGCATTCTTATAACGCCTTGAAATACCTTTTAATTTGTTAGCATATGGCATGACTTGTGTGAAGGTTCTCACACATACACATTCTAAACATAGAGATGATCATCTCTTGAAAAAGTATATGTAAGGATTCTTTTTTGTGGCGTAATCTCGTTCAGATTATGAACAAGTGTATTAGGATTTGTAAACCTTCTCTTATTTGTCATTGTGCAGTGTTTATCATGGTCGCCTCATTGTCCAGGTTCGTTTTCTCTCTTCCACCAAATATTACAGCTCAAGTCTAAATATTACTGTCTCGGGTAGAGATATTAGTTTGAATTTGTGCTTAATCACATAGAATTTGATCATCAGTTTCTGCGAGAGAGTGGCTAAAGAGCTGAGGATGAAGTTGGTTATACCATTTGATGCAAAGATCATGCAACTTCGGTAAGACTCTTTCTCGAACCGTCATGTACTTTTAAACCGTATAGAGCATGCTTATGAGAATATGAGGCCTCAAAGTATTTTTTTCCTTTATTTACACAGGGGATTACTTGTGTGAAGGGTTCTCCCATAGTCGTAGAGATAATCGAGGATCCTCTCTTGACAAAATCTACGTAAGAATTTTTTTTTTGTGTGGCATGTTCTCGTTTAATGTATGAATAAGGGTGTTAGGATTTCTAAGCTTTCTCTTATTTGTCATTGTGCAGTGTTTATCATGGTAGATGAAGCTCACGAGATGCATCAACACATAATCAAGATGCGTTCAGTTTCAATCCAGAGGATAGGTTCTGTAATAGATTTGAGGAAGTACTTGGTCGGTATAAAGAGATCGTGCCTCAGCTTAAGCTCGCAGGTTTATTTTTCCCCTTATTTTTGGCCACAGTTTCATGAAACATTAGCTAAGCTCTTAAACCATGTTTGTGAAAATGTTGGATATGTTTTAGGTCCCACCTCATTTCCTCCGATCATCGATATGGCCATGACTATTGTTGAGCAGAGAGCGGTGGCCAATATCACGTCCTAGTGATATTAGCAGATGGGCAGGTACGAGCAATACTGGTATGATCCTCTGTTTTTGTGTCAAGGGAAGAAGTCTCAATTTGTCTAGTATGAAGTAACTATGCTAGAGATGGTGGAGGATCCTTTCTTGATAACACTCTATTGTTAGGATTTTAATTCAGCATAATCTTGTTCAGATTATGTATAAAGGTATTAGTGAACTTTCTCTTATTTGTCTATCGACATTTTACATGATAGATTTAGTGAGTGCACTGTTGAGGAGTTTAAATTAGTTTGGTTGTGATTTTGATGATGAATATGTTGCATCTACTTAGTTTTTTCATAATGATGCAACCATGTTTTGCTCAAAATGATGAAAGTAGGTACTAAATTGAATGTGGTGTTTGTTTCGTATTGCTTCAGGTTCATCATTTTTGAAGCTTGCTGTCCCCTTAAAGCTATTGGAATGGTGTTCTGGAACTTCTGCTACAAAAAAATAGCATATTGGTTTCATCTTACACAGAGATAAGTCTATTTTCCTCTTTATGTTATTCGGGAATTTTGTCAGCATGACAAATATTTAATATAAAAAAAATTCAAAACAGCTCACGAACATCAATAATAACACAAACATACAACATAGAAAAATATAGTGCACCAGAATCATCATGTCAATATTACACCAACTTTTCACACACACAAAAAATACCAAACAAAGAAACCAGAAGAATCCAGCAGTTCAAAAACAAAAACAAAAGAAACCAGAATCCCAAACAAAACTAGAAACACAAAAACAACCACACATATCACAAACAAAATACAAAATAATCATCTTAAGCCAAACGCTACACAAACATCAATAGCACATAAATGTATCTACGAAACACAAAAACCATAATCTTCTTGTTTCGAGCCTCTATGTTTGTTTCTATAAGTTTTGATAATTCTGTGTGTATATAATTTTGCAGTATCGTAAAGATGCTGAATGGCTGAAAGCGACCGTGTTATTGCTTGCACACAACCGAAGCGCCTCGATGTTCAGGTTCGTTTCACCAAATCTTACAACTCAAGTCAAATTATTAGTGTCAAGCCGTGATATTAGTCTGAATTTGTGCTTAATCACATGCAATTTGATTAGCAGTTGTTGCGAGAAAGTGGCTGAAGAGATGAAATTCAAGCTTGGGGACGAAGTGTGGTATACCATTCGATTCAATCATACAACTTTGGTATGATTCTTTTTAACGTATAGAGCATTCTTATGGTGCCTCAAAATATCTTTTGCTTTGTTTTAGCACAGGAAGTGACTAGTGTGAAGGTTCTTATATAGTACTAATTGTAGAGATGATAGAGGATCCTCTTTTGCCAAGTATGTGTAAGAATTGTTTTGTGTGGCACCATCTCGTTTAGATTTTGATAGAGTGCAAAATCTTATATGTATTGTGAATCATCTATATTGCTAGTGAAAACTCAGGAATGATGCTGAATGTCATGGACCGATTATGTTTTCTGGTTGAAGTATTGTATGTAGAAAGTGGAATTTGAGCTAAGTCAACAAAACTTTCACTCTTCTCTCTTCCTTTTTTAGTTATTGGTTTTGAATTAAGTTCATTAGTCTCAAAATTTAATTGTTTTTCTCATTATTGCAGGCTCAAACTTTCTTTAGAAGATATCATTATTGTATAACTAACAAGATCTCGTGGAGAATAGAGATCCAAGCCACCACCATTATTGTCTGAGCGATTAAGGCTGTCATGGCAAAGGCTAATGTGGTTATCAATCTAATTGGTAGTTGTTTTGTCTATATAATTTTGGTCCAACAGTTATAGTTAAAACTTGTAATAAGCAATTCTGTTCTTTTACTTTTCGAATGATATTTATTCTAATCCACAGGGAGAGAGTACGAGACCAGAAATTTCAGTTTTGAGGAGGCGAGTCATCATATGGCTGAGAAATCTGCATTGGTATCTGTTTGAATCCTTGTCTCCAAACACTCTGGTGAAGAGGTTTCAATTTTTTTCCCTCCTCATTTTTAACCTTCAGGATGATACAATCTGCTTTCGCATTGTCTAATTACGTTGGGACTCTGTGGATTCGTTGTTTCAGGTTGCCAAGGAACATGGTGGGACAATGCGATATATTTCAAGTTTCGTCCCTAGGAGCTTCAGTGTCATCTCTTCTTCAAGAATGCAGAGGGCAAAAGTTGCTGCTGAGGTAAACCTATAACTGCTATCTCCACACGGAACACTCTCACTCAAAGGTGATGGCACCACCATGTAAGTCCTAAACCCAGTTATTTTCTAAGTCTTAATCACTCTTTGTTTATATTATTTTTCATTAGAGGTTGCTGCGAAAGATTGGCTAGAGAGAAAAGAGTCAGACTTGGGAACGAAATATTGGTTACACCATTTGATTCAGAGATCATACAACTTCGGTATGATTCTTCCTTGAACATTCATGTACTTTTTGATGTATAGAGCATTCTTATAACGCCTTAAAATACCTTTTAATTTGTTAGCATATGGCATGACCTGTGTGAAGGTTCTCACACATACACATTCTAAACATAGAGATGATCGTCTCTTGAAAAAGTATATGTAAAGAATCTTTTTTGTGGCATATTCTCGTTCAGATTATGAATAAGTGTATTAGGATTTGTAAACCTTCTCTTATTTGTTATTGCGCAGTGATTATTATGGTACATGAAGCCCACGTGTTATGCTTGCACACGGCCGAAACGCCTCATTGTCCAGGTTCGTTTTCACTCTTCCACCAAATCTTACTGCTCAAGGCTAAATTTGAGTGTCTCAGGTAGAGATATTAATTTGAATTTGTGCTTAATTTGATCATCAGTTTCTGCGAGAGAGTGGCTGAAGAGCTGAGGATGAAGTTGGTTATACCATTTGATTCAAAGATCATACAACTTCGCTAATATTTTTTCTCGAACCTTCGTGTACTTTTAACCGTATAGAGCGTTCATATGAGGCCTCAAAATATTTTGTCCTTTGTAAACACAGGGCATTACTTGTGTGAAGGTTCTCACATAGTCGTAGAGATAATCGAGGATCCTCTCTTGACAAATCTACGTAAGGATTAATTTTTTTGTGTGGCATGTTCTCGTTTAATGTATGAAAGAAGGGTATTAGGATTTCTAAACTTTCTCTTATTTGTCAATGTGCAGTGTTTATCATGGTAGATGAAGCTCACGAGATGCATCAACAACACATAATCAAGATGCGTTTAGTTTCAATCCAGAGGATAGGTTCTGTAATAGATTTGAGGACGTACTTGGTCGGTATAAAGAGATCGTGCCTCAGCTTAAGCTCGCAGGTTTATTTCTTTCCCTTATTTTTGGCCGCAGTTTCATAATTAGCTAAGCTCTTATAAACCAAATTACATCACATGCCTTATTTTTGGCTACATTTTAGGTCCCACCTCGTTTCCTCCGATCATCGATATGGCCATGACCATTGTTGAGCAGAGCAGATGGGTATGAATAATCCTGGTATGATCTTCTATTTTTGTGTCGAAAGAAAAATGTAATTGACTATTTCAGGTTACAACGAAGCGTTGACTCTGTTTTTGTATCGAAAGAACTCAATTGACTATTTTAGGTGACAAAGAAGCGTTGACTCTGAAAATGGACACTTAAGTGTAAGGAGCTTAAAACATTACACAAACTTTCAAGGTTTTTACCGTTTTGGTTTTGTTGTGATATTGATTTGAATAAGTTGCATCTACTGAAATTTCTCATAATGAATTAAATAAGGTGTTGTTTGGTATTGTTTTAGGTTCGTTGTCATTGAAGCTTGCAGTCCCGTTAGTCCCGTTAAAGCTAATTTCAATAGAATCTTGCAACTTCAACTATAAAACAGAGCATACTGGCTCCATTTCAATAGTCTTCCCTCCCTTCTCTTTATTTTTATTTGGTATTTTTTTTTAATTTTCTTCTCTATTGTCAAAAAATATATCAGCATCACAAATACATCTACTAACAAAATTTCAAAATATTCCACGGGCATCATTTATATACAAACATACAACACGAGAAAAATATAGGACACCAAAATCATAATCACAAACAAACTATTACACCAAAAAAAAAAATATACCAAACAACAAAACCATAATCCCAAACCAAAGTAGACAAACAAATATTATACCACTTTACATCACAAATATTTGACACAAAATTACAAAATCATAATCACATACAAAATATTACACCAGCATTTCACACACAAAAACAAATACACAACAACAACACCATAATCCCGAATCAAACTAGACACACAAATATTACCATTAATATCACAAAATACTTCAAACAAGAAATTACTAAATCATTATCTCAAACAAATCGCTAATTATCATCTATGACACAAGCTATTAAATTGTTTTTTGACCCACATTATGAGAAAGTGTATATAAATGTAAATTTTCTTCAGTCTTTATATTCAGAATTCAAATATACGATTTGTTGCCAAGACACGAGATATGATCAAAGCATATATATTTGTTCATCATATAGGAAACTAATGGTTTCCAAATTTTTTTTTTCAACACAAAATAAAGACAAGAAAATTGGCTACATTACTCGGGAATGGTACTAAGCTTAGGTCGCCAAGCTCGTTGGAGAAGCCTCTTGCTGAATCCGAACCATACTGGTACTCCCTCGGACTCCACTTGGAGACTAGAAGCTGCATTCAATTTAGCTGCCATGGCTGCAAGAACCTCTTCTTTTGTTTTCCCCTTCGGCTTCTCTTTCTCTTCATCTTCTTCTTCTTCCTCTGCAGAAGACGAAGAGACGAATAAGTCTCTCAGTTTGCGTCCGGCTAAGTCTTTCTCACCCGCTAATGAGCGGTTCTGATGAATCAGCGGCTGCTCACGGCGGCTTGGAGATCTAAGACTGAGAAGCATCTTTAAGGTTGTCTTCTTGCGACGAAACTGTACTAACGGGCTTGTCCTCGGGCTTGGACTTCGTGTCGGGCTCTCTGCAACTCCACACTGCGTCGCTAGAAACTTGAATCTCTGCAGCGTCGCCATGGATGATGGATTTGGGGAATTCGAAAGAATAAAAACTTGGGGGGGTTAATAATGAACGGTACCTTGTAATTATAGCAAGTGAGAAATCAAACCTCGCAACAACAAAAATACTTTGTCCTTTTTTATTCTTTTGAAGCAGTCTCTCTTCTCAAAAGTGTGTGCTTTGAATATGGAATTTTGTGGACCTTAAAGACGTAGTTTCCGATGAAATTCCAAATGTGTCATTATTGATTGTAGTCTTTGCCGAATTTTTGAAAAAGAAAAAGTGTTTGTTTATTCGATTCTTTTTCTTTCTTTCTCATTTTGTTTGCACTTTTACTTTCTTCAATGTGCATAGAAGGAATCGTTTGCTGTGGTTTTTACCCCTTTTTGAAGAAAAGGAAAAGATATATAATGTGAGTGCTGATGAAGGCCACGTGTTTTGGTCATAGATTCTTGTCTTGTTACTGTGTTTAGAAGTTATAATGAGACAATAGTACCTTTTGTGATTTTTGGTGACTAGTACTTCTTTTATGCCATTGATTTGTAGAAATTAGAACAACCAACAAATAAATAAGTCCTTATCAGACTCTAGATTTGAGTGGAAAATTGGAAATAGAGGGGATTTGATTATAAACGAATTCTTGTTAATTTTTGGTGTTTTAACTCTAAACGCAGATTTTTAAATGAATGATTTCAAGTCTTTTATGATGAAAATGGTAGTGCAAGTCATGTCACTAAGTACATTCTTTCACTACATCACATGGCTTCACAAATTTATGCCTCATCTTATATGTTTCCATACAAAATAGTAAGAAACACATAAATGAGAAGAATAGTACGTATTGTGGTATATGTAATTAATTGTTCTATCTCTTGGACTATGTGATCCTTAACAGGGATCAGCCTCGGCTACGTTGTGGTTTCTTTTAGGTCATGACATATGTGATCCTCATCCTAAATTGCGTTTTGTTCTTACAAACTTCATATATGGTTGGTGTCATCGCTTTGTCTTGCGACAAGCTTTGAATCCGTGCTCAGGTAATTGAGATTCAGATCAATCAGCTTGTGAGTCGCATGATTTTGAATCTTGTTAATGACTAAGTTGGAGAGATTGATCTCGCTTTTGCAACAACATGCTTTGAAGATTAATAAGAACAATCCCAAAGTTTTAATACATCACTTTATTGATTAGATGATAGCACTAAAGATATTCATGATCATCCACATATTTTGAAGTACCATGTGGGATTATTGTAACATGGTTACAAAAAAGTTTGTGTATAGAGAGAAATGTTCGTAATCTTAACAAAATTTATTCATAGTAGAACTATATGAAAGACTGAAAGTAAAACATATAGTTAAAAACATGTATTATAGCTAAATTAATTACACGAGGCACTAAAATATTCGGACTAGCATGTACCTACACGAAAGAATCCTGTGCTTAGACATAAGAAATATAAAGCCGATAGATGAGATCTTAAACCTTAGGGAGAAAATGAATGTAAGCGAGAGATTGCTGCAGTACTAACATATTGCATATGAACAACGTGATACCATGTGCGTCGTGTGGATGCATTAATAAAAATATCAATTTTGTTGAGTGTTACATCTGAAATATGACGCTCTATCAAACGTATTTTGCATAAATCCACAAGGTATTGTTTGAGAAGTAACATTATTGAAAATTGCTTATTTGTCAACACTACAATCAAACTTAATGTTTTTAATTGATGACATGTAAATGTGACATGTCAAACTTCCTAAAATAAACGAAATGTTTTGATTGGTTGAATTGAAATTATAGAAATTGTGGAATTAAAATATAAATAAACTAAATTATATTTATAATACTAAAATTAACAAATTTAAATTAACAGAAAATAAAAGTTATTATAATTTAATTTTTTACATATATTCATAATTTCATAAAAACAATTACGAAATTTTTTCAACAATATATATATATATATATTATAATTTCATATAAAAATAAAAAAATAATATTAAATTATTAAATAGAATAATAAAAATTCTATTTATTAATAATACTTTAAGTATGATATATTTTTAATTCAGAAAGTTATTAATTAAATCTAAAAAAGTTTTAAATAAACAAATTATTAAATAATATAATTTTAAATAAAATACAATCATAATAAAAATAATTTAAAGAATAAAAAGTTAAAAATAATAAAATAAATAACTTTTATTGATTATTTTTTAAAAAACGTAATTTAAAAAAAAAAATTGCAAACCAATATTTACTAAATGAATAAGTATATACTAATTATTATTTTATAATATTAATAGGACCATATATTTTTCTATAATTTTTATCATCTTTTTATTGTTGTTTTCTAAAATGTGCATAACTTATGTTATCATCTCATCTTATCTCTTATCATATTTTAAATAAAAATAAAATTTTATATCATATTAATATATATACATAATTTTGTTTTCATTGTATATCAAAATTTTGAGATCATAAATAATTTGAAAAATAACCGAACGAAAGAATAAATTATAATAAGATGAAACAATATGAATAAGAGATAAAAATAGAAGTATATAAAAATAAATCTCTCACCCTTTGTTTTACATAGTCACTTAAAAAAAATTTAACACGTAAAAGCCATATTTCAATTTTTTTACAAATACGCGTATATATAAAAATATTAATTGTACATTAGTTGAAGTCACATGCGAACTTTTTTGTGCATGTATTTTGTTAAGATTGATTACAGTCTAATTTTTATTTTAATTATTATCCAATTTATATTTTTTTAAAAATCTTTATTATTCTAAGTGTATTAAAGTGATTGGTATGTCCGCACATGCGTGCTAACCATCTATCCGCTCTTAGGAATAAGTAAAAATGGTAAAAACTATTTCTGTTTAATTTGCAATAAATCAAGAAAACTATATACTTAAAATATATTATATATATATTTACAAACTCATATTATGTAAGACGCAAAAAAGCATATTGTAGATTGTGTAAGGAAAAATAAAACATATTAATATTATAAGAATTTAATTATTATTTAACATAACTTTTATATTTGTGATTATATACTATTACAAGCATTATAAAAATAAAAAATAAAATACATTGATTTCAGAAAGAAGTTTGTGAAATATTAAAATAATATATATATATATACAAACATACAAATATTTAAAATTTAAATATTATAATTAACTATGTATATCAAAAAAATTATACCCGCACATATGTGCGGGCTAACCATCTAGTAGATAAATAATTGAGACAAAGACGAAAGAGCAAGTTGTTGCCGTTAGGCTTGAATCAAAAATCTGTATATAATTCAGTTATTGATCTGATTCGATCTGGAAATTATTTGGATGATCGTAAATTTCCATATCATAATACTAATGATCAATTTGTTAAAAACAAAGCAAAGCAAAATTTTAAAAGTCAATATTCAGACAAATGATAAGTTGAATTGCGGATACATATTATTAAAAAGGTGTCAAGTCGAATCACAATTATCATAAACTTTGTTACACGTCTATTTTGCAATGTCGTAATCTATGATTAGATAATTGAAATTCTTATGAAAAAGACGAATACATGGCGTTTTGAATGTTCAACAGTAATTAAGATGAAGAAATGTTCTTTTCATAATAAAAATTATAACGCAAGTACGGTTTCTCTATTTTTTTTTTAACACTGATTTATTAATCTATTGCAAATTATGAGAACTGTTACATCAACGATTCTATAACAGTCAATTTTACCGTCTTATAAAGATTAATGACTCGTCTGCTTGCACCATGCTGAAGATCTTTTGTAAGCTTGCTTCCATTAATTTGCATCATTCTTTATTAATCTGTATAATTAATAATAAATTGCATTCGCTGGGATTTGAAACCCAAACCGCCTGATGTAGAAGCATTAATAAATCTTTATTAAATCATTGGGCTAAAGAGCTTTCACAATACGGTTTCTCGATTTGAAAA